CGTTAATCAATAAATGCTATAGCAGCTATCTGTATAATGTTCAAAATAACGTTTTAAAAAACCCTAAGTATTTCTGGTCTTACGTCAAAAACAAGCGTAATAACAGTAATTGTTTGCCAAAGCAAATGAAACTAGGGTGCAAAAGTGTATATGATGGAAACAATATTGCTGATTTGTTTGACGAATATTTTAAATCTGTATATAACACACCCTCTAGTACGTCTCAATCTCTACCTTATAAATTGCATAATATTGACAGTCTTTGTTCTTATAATTTAAGTACCATGCATATTCCAAAAAGGGATATAGAAAAACATCTTAGTACATTAGATACCAATAAAAGTGCTGGTTGTGACGGAATATCTCCCCATATTTTTAAAAATGTGTGCTAAAGCATTGTCATCGCCTCTTTGTATAATTTACAACCTTTCAATTTGTCAAGGAATTTTTCCGGATACATGGAAAGAAGCAATTATCACTCCAATACACAAATCCTGAGATACTAGCGATGTTCTCAATTATCGACCGATCAGCATACTGTCAACTTTAGCTAAAATATTCAAAACATTGATAAGTAAACGATTAAGCTGGCACATTAAACAGCTTATAAGTGAACATCAACATGGCTTTATTGCAAAACGATCTACAGTAACAAACTTAATGACTTTTTCTGAAAGTGTCTTGACTGATATGAGCATGGGAAATGAGGTGGATGCCATATACACTGATTCAGCAAGGCCTTCGACAAGGTAGATCATAATATTTTATTAATTAAACTTGAACACTACTTTTTTATAAACGGATGGTTTTTGAAATGGATCAAATCATATTTACAAAACCGCACAATGAGGGTAGTAGTCAATGGATATGCTTCAGATGTATATAAAGCGACTTCTGGAGTTCCTCAAGGCTCTGTTCTAGGTCCTATATTGTTTTGTATGTTCATAGATGACATCAAACTTGTCATAAAGAATAGTCAGTTCCTTTTATATGCAGATGACTTAAAAATTTATAGGAAAATTAAATATATTGATGACCAAATACTCTTACAAAGGGACATTAATAATTTATCGAAATGGTGTGAAGAAAATAAAATGACTTAATGTTCAAAAATGTTATTACATAAAATTCTCAAGAAAACGTAAACAATTCCAAAGTAAATACCATATTTTAAATAATTTATTAGATCAAGTTAAATTAGTCAAAGATTTAGGCATAAATATCGATTCTGAAATGCGTTTTACAAATCATGTTGACATAACACTAAAAAAATGTATGAAAATGTTATCGTTTGTCCATCGCAATACAAAAGAATTTAAGTCAACATCAGCACTTAAGAGCCTATATTTTTCTTTGGTCTGTAGCAATATTGACTATTGTTCTATCATATGGTATCCTATTTATCAAAATAATTTACAAAGAATAGAAAGAGTACAAAAAAGAATCATATCTAAATTAAGCTATATGAGAGGCATATATCATGATATTAAAAGTTATGAAAAAAGACTGTAGCATTTTAATATGATTTCCTTAGAGAGGCGAAAAGATGTAATGTGTGTGGCTTTCCTGCACAAATTGATTACTCATGAACTGGACTGTCCGTCTCTCTTGCATAATATTAACATTAATATTCCTAGGATAAGTGCAAGGATACAAAATTACAAACCTTTTCACCTAAAAACAAGTCGAAATAAATATGGCATGAAAACACCTCTAGCAACTGCATTAAATGCTTACAATGTTCTCTTTCAGAAATGTGATGTAGATATATATTCTGAACATATTTAAGAAAAAAATATATACACATTTCAAATAATTTTATAATAAGTTAACCTAAGTATTGCTAAGTTCAAATTTATAATTTCCCAATTTTCCTAATTTCGTTTTTTTTTCTCAGAGATCAAAGATTTTTTTTTTTTTTTTAGTTAGGTTCCTGTTCTATATTTCAAGTTTGTTTTGTAAGTGTTGTGTTTACCTGTAATTTAAATATGTACATATATTGTTTACGACTTTAGTATTAAGTTAAACATATTTACATTTCAATGTTCTGTATGTATTTAGTTGGTAAGCCTTAATAAATAAATAAATAAATAAATAAAATAAACTCACATGCCTATGGGTATAGGATATCCTAAAATTTTACATTTCAGAAGGATAGTGATAAAATTTAACAAATAAAATTAAATTTCTGTAAAAATCAAATTTGGATAATACCAATTCAATAACAGGTTACTAGAGTAATGGTGTATTTTTATAATGCATCAGATTTATTTTTTTATTTATTCTTTATTGAAACACCTTAAAAAGGGGTTACAAAGGGCGGACTTAATGCCTATTAACATTCTCTACCATCTACCCATCTATCGAAGAAATCGTGGTAGTTGTTATACAGAATTGGGAGTACAATATGGATTTGTAATATACAGGGTGGCTTTTCTAAAGGTGCCCAAATTCACACAGGAGGTTCATGCTCGGTAGTATAATCGTTGGTTGAAATAAAAAAAAACTTTAAAAAAAAAATTGCCCATTCCATTCCTTAGAAAACAGAACTTGTTGACAATGCGGTAGTCATTCAATTGGTATTCAAATGGTAGTCATACAAAGATACAAAATTAATATATATGTATATACAACACTTGTATTCTAATTAGGAAAATAATGGATAAATCCATCCATACTAACTTATCGTTTGTAAAAAAATCACAAATAAGTAAACGCAGTCTTCGTCGTCTTAGATAATTGTTTTACCAAAAGAACGAACAAATTACGCCAAAAAAAAACTTATTACCTTGTAATAATAATACGCCTAGGTTCAGGCTAGGCGCCTCATGCGCCAGGCCACATCAAGCCCGTCGGAACTGTAAAGGCCCCTAAGGCCAACAGTGGCTCATCCAGCCCAAAAAAAAAACTTATTACATTTGAAGAAGCACAGCTATTCAATAAACTACCTACTCATATAAAAAAGTTACCGCATTTAGCAATTTTAAGTCTCAGTTATCTCATTACATTATTGATAACTTTTCGCCTTCGATTTGAGACATAAAGCTGTTTACTGATTGGCGACCATTGCTTTATTTTATAATTGCATAATATTCTCATGTAAGTGGCATTATATTTTCTTTTTGGGAATAAATTTCTTTAACCTCAAAATAAATGAGTTGCCCATAAATCACGCACTTTTTGAGATAAGTTCAAATGAATGTATTTAATTAATTACGAGTGATTTTAAATATTTATTATTTTTATATAACATTATTTATGTCTAGAATTTATTAAAAAAAAGGATTCATTTAAAAAGCCTCCCTGTATATGTATGATACATAATACAAAAACCCAATATATAGCTATACGATGTCACATAAATATTAATATAACACATAATATTTTATAAACTCGCGTTTTAATTATTAAAACGTCATTATTTGTAATAACATTATAGTATTCATGTTATTAGCAACCCGCCCGGCTTCGCACGGGTACAATGTATTATACATATAAACCTTCCTCTTGGATCACTCTATCTAGTAAAAAAAACGTATCTAAATCCGTTGCGTACTTTTAGTGTGTTATTCATAATAAAACGCTTATCGAAGGTATAAACCTATATTATTATTAAAAACGTCTTTTAAGCGTATCAAACGTTCGATAAAAATCTTTATTCATAATCGTTTGATAAAACTCCGATAACTAAAATATCTTTATTGAACATAATGTTGCCGATTCGTAGAAAAATTGGTGAAATTTAAATGATGAAAGAATGGTTATATGAGTTTTTATCTATTGATCGCTACAATTTAAAAAAAATTGTATCTTGTCTTGTGTCAAAAATTACACCTTTTATCAGTAGGACGAGTGTTAATTGTGAATTTGCTTATCATAATTATGTTTTTAATAAGGAGCATTGAACTTAAAATGAAATGGCTTCTTACAATGAAAATGACATAAAACGTCTTTGTAGTTACTTTGCAATATAATCAGTAGAATTTAACTTATTGAAAACATGTTTTTGTCAAATTATGTTAAAAAAAAATGTCTCGTGGAGTTACTTTCACCGGTTTTCTCAGATCAGTGGCTTTTCTTTTCCGAAAAAATAAAAAATTAAGAAAGCAATGATCGGGTATAGAAAAAAAAGTAAAAAAAAATAAGTGTGTAAACGATCCTGACACGAACCACGGCCTTCTGTTTCGGGGCCGCCCGGTTCCGACCGAACTATCATAACATTTTTTTTCAGCGAAATTTACCGTCATATCCGAATGATATTTTTCATTCCCTGGGGGATAAATACGCACATAAACATACTAAATTTTATAGAAATATACATACTAAATTTCATGAAAATCGCTGGAGCCGTTTCCGAAATTCCTGTTATATATAACATATATACGATATATATATATATATATATATATATATATATATATATATATATATACATCGTTTGCCATCTTCTCACGTAAACTGATGATTTTCTTATTACTTTCAGAAGTATTTAGATAGCATTTATATACTTTATACATCCATACTTCAATTCATTTCATTCAAATCATTACATACTTTATACCATCAGAATTGACGTGGTGAGATGGCGACCGCTTAGCTAAAGCGTCTGCACGTTATTTGGAAGGTGCAGATTCGAACCATGATAGCGCCGAAAAATATTTGCTCCGAAAAAATTTGCGCCTAAAAATTTTTCGCCCGTTTTACCTACACATCTTTCGAATACCAAAGTGTCTATGGGTGCCTGTTTTCATCTACCAGAGAAACAATTAGTGCTTGTCCGAATTCAAATTCAAAATATCTTCGTTCAAATAGACGCTTGCTTGGTCTTATGAAACGTCGAATTTTACATAAATAGTCCGTACGTAAGTTACCACCGGTCCGGTAGGCAGTTTCTGTTGAGAAGAGACCGGCAAGAAACTCAACGGTTTCATTTCAGTCACCATCACTATGAAATTGATGAAAATGTTCTTGCAGTTGGCCTTATAAATATTAAATCTCTGATGAAGAAGCGATCAGAACTGAATCCGGGCAGGATCTTCCATTTGATGATGAACGTGACAAAGAGGACCATGGGGAATGTCAACGTCGTCAATTTGTTGAATGACCGCCGAGAGCGATTCGACGTGGTCATATCGCAATGGATGTTCAACGAAGTGTTCAGCGGGTAAAGTCAAGTCTATTTTTAACCGACTACAAAAAGGAGGAAGTTATCAATTCGGATTATATGTGTATTTTACATAAGTAGATTTTATGTATGTTCGGGCATAGCTCCGTCATATATAGACAAATTTGCGAATTTCTTTTCTCTTTATTTGTCTATACTATTTTTGGCGACTTGTTACAAATTTACGCAGTTAGATGAAAGTTTCCTTGAAATATTTTAACCTTTAAACAGTCGATAACCCATGTAAACTGTGATAACCATATCAAAAACCTTAGTCGTTACCGTTTCCGCCTTTCTTAGAATACAGTCGAATATTCATAAAACCGGGGGCTGAAATCAAAATTAAACGCGCTAAGCTCCGTAAGGCAGTCTCATTCGAAATTTAACTTCGATGCTCTCCCTTAGAATAGCCACCCTCTACGACTGCCCACACATCTGGTTCTCCATTCACGAGCCCGGCTTTGCTATATTAAGCCTAATAGACGAAGCAACGAATCCGGCATATACGGCCAGTGTCGACCTGGAAGCCATAGCGCCCTTCACCTTTTTGCAGCGTTTAAAATCTCTGCAGTTACAAGCCAATTGCATGTTAAGATATTATCTGTGAGTAATCGACTTGTAATTTTTATATTTCGTTTATACAGGGTGGCTTTTTAAGTGTATCCATTTTTTTAAGTTTTTTATAGTGCTAATCTCTGCACTTAAGATTGAACATTAAAACATGTAAAAAAGTACGAAAAGATTGTCGCCGCTGTGGGAATCGAACCCACCTCTTCGGCATTCGCGGCCTGACGCTCTAGCCACTGAGCTAAACGGCTGATAGCCACAGCGACGAAAATCTTAACGCCTTCTTTCTTGATAAGAATAAGATGAATCTTAAGTGCAGAGATTAGCACTATAAAAACTTTAAAATTTATGAATGGAATGGCATTTTTTTTTGTAAAAAGTTTGTTTTTATTTCAATAAGTGATTATATTCCCGAGTCTGAACCTCCTGTGTGAGTTTGGGCACCTTTAAAAAAGCCACCCTGTATAAGGAATAAATATTTTTTGATAACTACAAAGATAATTTTGTCACTTTTAATATTATCTTCTTTTTTTGTTTTGTTTCTCTACACTTGGACAATCTCATTTACCTGTTTTCTTGCCACATTAATATTAAATTAGTTTTTATTAACACATTCTATTGGCGATTCATAATCAAATAAGGAAGATTTAAATCTTCATCTGTGATGAAATAAAAAAAACTATTCTCTTAAATGTTTTTTTCATATAATTAATATAGCCGTAGGTATCCTAGTACATAATCAAATTAAGAACTAATTATTGCAAAGTGGCGTAACAATTACTGAAAGGTAAAGTGTAGTTATAGATAATATTTTTTACAGAATATATCGAAATATCGAGAAAGATGTCTTCGATAAAACGTTCGCCCCAATACTAGCGAGGAGAAATAAAACACTGCCATCTTATGAAGAAGTACGCCTTAATGCGTCCCTAATATTTGGTACCTACCATGTTTCTCTCGCCCAAGCTATACGGCTACCTCAAAACTATATTCCAGTAGGCGGTCAGCACATTGAAGAGGATGTCAAGCCATTACCAAAGGTCTATAATCAAAACACCTTACAAGATTACACGATTTTCTTTTACAAATTGTAACAGATTTTACACATGTCAAACCTAGATGAAGTTATGAAGTTTGACTTAGATACATTAATATTTTTGTTAAATTTTTTTTTTCTTTTTTTTATGTTAGAAAGTGGCAAACGAGCTGGCGGTTCACCGGATATTGAGTGATAACCGCCGCCCACGGACATTTGCTACACCGATTGCAGGTGTGTTGCCATCTTTTAATAATGACCGGCTACCTCACTCAACATATGAAACGCAGAAGTGTGACACTTCTACTTTACTCCGGTATTCTGTGATGCCGTAGTACTAATTCGGACGGACCTACCCATTCGTGCAACAGCGAATACTGTTGCGTGGTCCTCCCACAGATAAAATCAACCAAACCAAGAATGATGGTCGTGTAGAAGATCAACATACAGATAAAACCACTCCTTCCGATTAAATAAAAATTTATTTCTTACAGGAAATAAATAAAATTATGAACGAAGCCAAAAACGGTGTTATATACTTCAGCATGGGGTCGACTTTGAAAAGCAAAGACCTCCCGGAATCCATAAAACGGGATCTTCTTAAACTTTTAGCTGAATTCGAGCAGACCGTTATCTGGAAATTCGAAGACACACTGCCGAACCTTCCAGAAAATGTACACATACTGCCTTGGGCGCCTCAACAAAGTATTTTATGTAAGCGTGTACATGATTTTTAATGTCTCCTTGAGGCGCTATACGTTGACAACCTTTAGATATTAGAAGGCTAAAGTATTCTCCATATCCTATGGTAATCAGATGCTTTTATACAGAAAATGTTTTTGAATGTACAGGAGTTCTCGCTGACAGCTGAATCATCTGTGCATTCGGTTTAAACTATGCTATTGCCAGACCGTGAATTGATTGGGTTTAACTGACCATTGTCTCATATCAGATGTGACTACATCATCTATATTTAGCTACCTAGATGCTAAGCTCATTTTGATTTCAATTAGTTTACGTATTGCTATGTAAGTGATGAACGATCTAGTTCAGTCACCTGTCCACTTCATTGCATCGAGCACCTCGGAGAATGACGGGTTGTAAGCACATATTCCAATCCCATGATGCACGCATTATTAATGTTAGAATATTTTACTCGTTAAAACTTTTTTTACCTTATGTTTTTGTTATTTAAAAGATATTATAACTGAGCAAGCGATTCACTTATTCGTAAATAACGACCTATTCACTCTTACAACACCATATATGTTTAAAACCTCCTCTATACAAAGGGTATTTGGGCATAGTCCATCACGCGACCCTACCGTGGGGGTTGGCAGACTTCACATATCTATCTTTAAAATATGTTCACTTCAGTCATGACTTAAAATTGAAATTAACAATTTCGTTGGTGCCGCAATAGGATTTAAACTTACGTTGTTCGAATATATTATATTCAAGTTTACGGTGGTAGGGCCACGCAGCAGCGTCGGTTGTTGGACGAATGGACAGGCTCGTCCGGGTAAGTACCACGACCTCACAGAAGACCGGCGTAAAGTGGAAGTAGTGGACTTTCGCGTTTCGTCTGGTGAGTGAGGTGGCCGGAACCCAATTTTCAAAAGGTTGTTAACGCATCTGGAACTCTCGGGTGTAGCAGATGTCTATGGGCGGCGGTATTCACTTACCATCAGGTGAACCGTCTGCTCGCTTGGCAACTTTTCACATAAAAAAAAACTGACAATGCCATCACGGCTCGATTTGTTTATATGATCACATTAGTGTTCACGGGCTCAGTTATTAGTGCATTCTCAACAACCTAAAAAATTCAAGTACATAATAGGAATTTATTTTAGCCCACCCCCGTTGCGTGTTGTTCATCAATCACGGTGGTCTCCTCTCCACCATGGAGGCTGTGCACTTTGCCGTGCCGTTCGTGGGGATTCCCGTGTACTACGATCAGCAGCTGAACATGGAAAAGGCCGTCACTAAAGGCATCTCAATCAAAGTGGAGCTAACGGATCGAGTAGCGGAAGACCTTAAGAAAGCCGTGCACGAGATGCTAAGTAATTCGAAGTAAGAATGAACATGATCTATACGATTTGCGTTGTAGGAGTGGAATGGAAAATGTTTCACATGTATCATCCAGCTAACAGTCAATGATAATGGTAAATTATCAAGACAGTGGTAAACGTAAGGGATCTTAGCTATATCCTAATCCTAATAATATGATATATAATATTATAAGGGCGAAAGTTTGTATGTTTGTTACTCTTTCACACAAAAACTACTGAATAGATTTTAATGAAACTTTACAATAATATAGCTTATACATCAGAATAACAGATAGGCTATTATATTTAAAAATATTGTGTGAATGGTACAAAATATAGGTAATGATAAGTGTAAACTAAGTAGTGTATAATAAAAAGCTAATTGTTGTTTGTTAGCCGCGCGGGTGAAGCCGCGGATAACAGCTAGTCAATGATATAGCTGAGATCCCATTCAGCGAGGCCCGCACCGTAGTAAACGCGGCCCACTATATGTCCAGATGGAATCGATCTGAACAATTGATATCAATCGAATACGTATTATTTAAAATCGATAAATGAAGAGGCATGCATCACTCAGGCTATCGTGTTTTATCATAGTATAAATAGATGCTTAACGTGTTCTTGTGTGTAAAACGGTGACAAAGTCAATAGGTAGTCCGAAAATTTTGACTCATAGTATTCTCATTGGATTTGTAGACGCTGCTTCGATTTGAGCTAGCCACTGGTATCGTTTGTAGACGTTAGGCAACAATTTCTTTCTCAAAAATTTTCTTCCTCTTTAGCGCCTTTGTCGTCATTGATATTTATAGACGGGATAGCTCATCATGGCTTTTATTTAAGGTATCGAGAGCGAATAAAGGAGCTCTCCTTTGTCTACCATCATCGACCGGTGCCGCCTGGTCGAGAGCTTGTCCACTGGGTCGAGCACGTGGTGCGTACAGGTGGCGCCCAACATCTGCGTTCACCGGCTCTACTGGTGCCTTGGTATCAGAAGATGTATTTGGACTTGGCGCTGATACTGCTGATCCTAACGGTCTTCGCGATCTACAGCATAAGGCTTTGTTTATCACAACTGAAAGAAAAAACTAAGATGAAACTTTCTTAAGGTGTTAGGAGAGTTGGTTCAATGTTATTATTGGTTCGATGTCTATTCATCTTCAACATTATAAATTGTTCTACTGCGTTATCAATAAAAACATATTTGTTGTTATTGTTATTATAGCTTACTACAATTTACCGACTATACACATATGTCATATAAGGTTTTTTTAGTGTTTCATTTAGTAGAAAAAGGGACACAGCATCAGTAGGTAATAATAAACCTATAAACCTTATTTAAGTCTAAAGATAACTTATTTGTTAATAAAATAAATGTTGACGCTTAAATCCATACCTAAATTTATAAATATCTAACTTATATTTTTATTGTTTTATTAAGATGATCACAGTTATTAAGGCTGAAGGCATAACATTCTGAAAGAAAGACATATACATAAAATATGTATATAAATTATAGCCTATGTCTTATTCTGATGTATCAGCTATATTATAGTAAAGTTTCATTAAAATCCGATTAGTAGTATTTGCGTGAAAGAGTAACAAACATCCATCCATACATACAAACTTTCACATTTATAATATTAGTAAGGATGGCCTCACGGCAACTTCTGGTCATGAGGGTAGAGCAGATTTATTCGCGCCAGTGACTCACAGAAGAGCGAAGTAAAGTGAAAGAATTATACTTCTGATGAATTATACTTCTGTATGAAGTAACCGTAGCCATTATTTGAAAAGGTAGCAACGCATCTACAGCGCGCTTACCACCTTCCCACAAAAAACAACTAAAATGGATTGGAATGAAAGTACGTACATACTACTTTTATCTCGCAAGAATTTAAAGAATGTATACTTGTAAGGCCTCCCACAAGGTGGACGGACGACCTAGCCAAGATCGCAGAGACGCGTTGGATGCAGACCGCTAACGACCGGTCGAAGTGGAAGTCAATGGGGGAGGCCTATGTTCAGCAGTGGACGTCCTACGGCTGATATGATGATGATGATAATACTTGTAAGGAACCAAGAGTGTAAGACTTTCATCGCTGGTTCAGGATTTTCATCGCTGGCAACATTTACTTGTCTTACACCTTTGCAATATCCATTTACAGTGTATTAAAAAACTTGTTCCATTACGTTTGAGCTTATCAAGCGTATTACAAGTCTCGACCTGGAACATGGAGGGTCATTTACCTTTTCAAGACTAGATAAGTCACGAACTCTATAAGGTCGCTTAAATTCGCTAGCTGATTAACTTTTTAATACCGTGTTACACAGAACTTCATTAATATACAAGAGTTAAGTTTTTTAATTTAAAAAAAGTGTTAGTTGCACTTTTTTTAGTTCAAATTGTTAAGCAGTCGTTATCATATTGTTTTCTTGATTTTACGCGAATATTATACATATTAAATGAAACTACTTTACGGATTTTATCGCGTTTTTTTTTTCTGTCCCGTGACCATGAACGCTGGAAAGGGTTCGAAACGTCGGGAATTTAAATTAAAATAAAAAAAACGCGATAAAATCCGTAAAGTAGTTTCATTTAATAAGTCGTTATCATGGTTTTTATCGTATTGTTTTCTTTACTAGTATTAGTTTGTTAATAGTTTTTTTTTTATTTCTTTTAAAGTTTATTTTTATACTTTAAGCTTAGGGAATGATTTAATTGATTTGACTTTATGAGCGGATTTAATGCCTAATGGCATTCTCAACCGGTCAACGCTGTTTACATAAATATATAAATAGTTTTTCTGTGGTAGGGCCACACAACAGCTTCTGGTGTCACGGACTCACAGAAGTCCAGCAAGAAGTAAATGTACTTAAGGTTTTCATTTGGTGAGTTTTTTTATGCCAAAAGTTGCCAAACGAGCAGACGGGTCACCTGATGTTAAGTGAATACCGCCGCCCATGGACATCTGCTACACCGGAGGGTAACAGATGCGTTGACAACCTTTTGAAAATTGGGCTCCGGCTACCTCACTCACCAGACGAAACGCGAAAGTATTTGTCATATTTCCACTTTACGCTGGTCTCCTGTGAGGTCGTGGTTTACCCGGACGGGCCTGCCCGTTCGTGCAACAGCCAAGGCTGCTGCGTGACCCTACCACCGTTTAAGGTAAACGGGGCTGACTATTTCAAAGGTTTTCAACGTATTTGGAACCCGATAGGTGTTCTTTACGTGCGTTGACGGTAGCCACTTAACATCAGATGACCGCCTGCAAAGATTTCCACATAGGAAGTATTAGCCTGTAAATTGAAAATACTACCTTTATACCTATAGTAAAGCTACATAATTATGAGATATTTTCGTAAAACTAGCCCAAAAGATGGCGTACATGAAGTGATTTATAACTTTTCGGATGTATATATCATTTTCATTTTTATTTAACGCCTTAAAAATATGTAGACGAGTTAAAAGATGATGTAACTTCCCAAGAAATCCTACTAATATTACAAAGGCGAAAGTAAGCATGTTACGCATGGTACATTTCAAGTTATATATATTGAACTATACATTGACAAAGCGTGAGCACCGTGTATAAAACTAAGGGATTATGTGTTTGATTTATGTAAAGTTATCCTATTGTGTTTAAGTTAATTTATTTATTTATTTCAGCAAGTCGCAAGGTTGTTAAAAACCAAATGATTTTGTGGAGTGTTTGTGCACCGCCTCTATAAGACATGACTATGACACTCTATTCTTGCAGCAGAGTTCATGGTTTTTTTTTTAAATAAAAGGGAATAGTATACAACGTGTCGTTACAACCGCGACAATAAATGAACACACACATAGAGAATAACTTTTTAAAATTGTATTAAGCATTTACATTCTTTAAACATCAATAAATGGGTAAACCCAATTATTAAATTTTACAAAACAAACATTTTTAGAACAACCTTACGTATAAAACGTAAATGTAATTTAAAGTTCATTTGTAAAGGTCACAAAGCATCTGAATGGGTTGAATTAATTTAAAAGAGATAAAACATACTGTTAGAAGGAGAGACTTGTAATTCGACGTTGTGGCAACGAATGAATAAGTCTTTGAATGTATGAATCAGTCAGTTGTAGTCGTATAGGATGTTACAATTTTTTTTTCTTTTTTATTTAATTAGTTTGTGTGAAAAATATTTTTTTAATTATGGATTTTTTAACGTTTTTTATTTTTTTTATGATTATTGGCAAGTAGCGTTAGACGTGTGTTCATTTATTGTCGCGGTTGTAACGACACGCTGTATATTAAGGTCCATTAATAATCAAAAGGCATGTAGTTGTTTTATTTAATTAAAATCAATCCTTCTTCAGCGGCGTCAGTCCTATGAAGTCCGTTATGTTTTCCCAAGTTTGCGCGTCGACAATCGATATCAGGTCAGATTCTAATAACGCGACTTCAACTGTTTCAAAAAAACATTTATCATTATCAGACTAGTGATTATGTAACATACATTGAATTTGGAGACATGATAGCTCAGGCTCAGAAAACGTCGTGATGAATGGTGCAGTTTTACAAAATAATAATAAAGATGAAAACCGGCCCAGTGCGAGTCGGACTCGCGCACGAGGGGCTCCGTATCATTATCTATAAAAACGGCAGAAAAAATCATGTCTGTTGTATTTACTCCAGCTATTTTTTTTTGTATTGTTTGTTATAGCGGCAACTGAGATACATCATCTGTGAAAATTTCAACTGTCTATCACGGTTCATGAGATACAGCCTAAAGACGGACCGACAGACAGACAACGGAGTCTTAGTAATAGGTCCCGTTTTACCCTTTGGGTACGAAACCCTAAAAAGTAGACTTCGAATGTAATTGATTATACAAGAAGAGAATACAATTATTTCATTATATTACAATTCATTCTGTCAATCCAAGATGGGTTCGCGTGGACAAGGTCCTACTAAGCCATTGCCTAAAAAAGTGCCATACATAAACAGTTACTTTACTTTTTTACAAACATTTACCTTACACATACCATTTGGAACCAAAGACAATGACTTTCAAAGAGAATAAACAGTATCGTCCTGAATCTCAAAATCGCAGGTGAATTAACTTTTTCTTTTCTCTTTTTAAACATTAACCCCATCACATTGCGTGATAGGAAAATACGTATAGATAAGCAATAATTGTACGTAAGCTTTACAGAAAATTGTGACTTGGGCATCAATCTCACAAATCGTGACCAAGTAGCGGTTTAGCAACTTTGCCAACCGATATAAGCTTTATTGCAAAACAGATATTCAACGTTGATAATCTTCGTAATGGTTATACATAAATATATTCTATACTTATACATAATATAAGAATAGAAATTACTTGATATGACCTCGTGGCAACTTCCGCTGTTGCAGGAATGGCAGGCTCCTCCGGGGAAGTACCAAGACCTCACAGAAGACCGGCCTGAAGTGGAAGTATTATTCTTTCGCGTTTCTTCTGGTGAGTGAGGTAACCGGTGCCTACTTTATTAAAATATGGCGCGTCTGCAACCCTGCGGATGTTGCAAACGTCCATTTGCGATGGTTATTACTTAACGTCACGTGAACCACCAACACGCTTGCTTGCGTGCGTGGCCCTACCACCTCTAATGAAGAATACCAATCGACTCCAATTACGAATAGATTTCCCAACAGCTTAATTCAGAGATTTAGTTATAATTCCAATATGTGTTATTCAAGTCAGAATAAAATAATGAAAATGTGAACTTTGAGTTAAACGTGTCATGATATTGATATTTTTGATATTTATGTTTTCTAGAGTTAATATAACAGATTTTCCCATCCATTCGAAAAGCGCAACTTACTCATTTAGCGAATTGAACTTTAGAACTAAGTGATACTCGTATTGTACTCGATATCAATGCTAAGTACTAAAGTGCTATAAAACAGTTCAAATAATGCAATGCTAAAATTCAAAATAATGTATATACTTAAACAATATTACCTCGCATTTCATTTATATTATTGACTAATTTCTTCATATTAGACAGCTCTTTTTCAATGGATGCTTGAATAGTTTCAAAAATATCCAGAGCGTTTCCATTGTCTGATAATTGATTTGAAATGTCCATTGATTTGTATTTTCGTAACAACAGTGTTAAAACGTTTCGTGGAGCGCGCCAATTTTCTTTTTTTTTATTGAACCCAGATCGTTAGGTGTGCAGCCAAACGTGTGAGTCATTAATTACTTTAAAAATATTCTGAAAATGTTAATCTTTTCATTGTTTGCAAAATTAATTATAGAAATTGAATATTCAAAACAAACAGTGTAATTTATGAAAACGATATAAATCGCTTATGAAATGAAAATCGATTATGCCTGTCAATTGGAATGACGAGTCTTTTTTTTAATGCAATATAGGTCACATGTCGCGCGCATACAGCCCAATTTCGCGCGTGCAAATTGGTAGCCAGTAATTGTTTCAACAATCGATAACTAGTGCAAACAGTTAAACAATGATGCCAATCATCGTGTCGAGCGGACTAAATCTGTTTTTGGATGACTTTTGGTATGTGCGGCGCGTCACTGACTGAATGTCATTGGATTTATAAATAAGATCAGCTCCAGAAATAGGTGGCTACAGGTTTTCCAGGCGTACCGACCGAAATAAAGCAGCCTGGATTCTGTTAACAATATTATTGTGCGAGCTGCTAACGGCGCGGGCATCGATACGGATCATAGTGAGTCTGTTATCGGCGATCGCGGGAATTGTTATCGCGTTTTGTTTTTTTTATTTTCTTGTTTAAAATGGATGAGGACGAAACCCAACAGTTCTCTTTGCGCTGGCACAACCATCAGGTAGGTAAGTGATTGTTTAGTTCCCAAACACAGCAGATGACACAGGTACACGACGATATATTTACGGACACTACTACTACAGCATTGACTACATCACGCTTCCATTGCACATTTTCGCTTTACGTATAATAAAACTGAATGAAAGGCATGTCCATATATTCTAGCTAAAATTTTAAGATCCTACAGATACTTCTTTTAATGTAAAAAGCTTCGCTGATAAAAAAGATTGCACCAAATAATTTCGATACATGCGCTTAATTCAAACATATACATAATGCAAAATACGAATATTCACGTTATAAAAACATATTTATACAATTGAAACAAAAGGAACGAAAATTTAAAAAAAACGTAAACGAAATATTAAAAAAAAAATAATTGTAAAATAGTGAATAATAGTGATTCTTAATTTATTAGCCTTAATATTTCTTAATTATTATAAATATTTTTCTACAGCACTACATTATATTTATATAATGTAAGGTAAACTCTATCACTCTCACTTGAGCATATAATTTCATCTGTATAATTGAATGAATAATTACTATCATAAAAATTAATATAAATAAGCGTAGTTTATGTGTAAGTATGCTTCAATACGTGCTGGCATAACATATTTAAATAAAATTTGCAATCGACATCGCTATCGTTACCGCTGCATACATTATCGCGTAGAATTCTTTAAATCTTATCACACTTAATAACTTTTTAATTTCGAAAAAAAACCGTTTTTCCAATGTTTTTGTTTTCAATTAGCTCTATGAGAATCACAACTCTTCAATATTAGGTTTAAAAATATAGTTTGTTTTCAATTAAAGCATTTAACCAATTTTAAATCGCTTCGAGATAAATTTGTGAGATATACTAATATTAGTGATCGATGTCGTTGTCGTTTTTGACTTGAAAATTAAAAAAAAAACTGACATATGTTGACAGACCAGCGTGATTGGTGCTCTCGGAAGGATGCTGAACAGCGGCGCCCTCAGTGATGTGACCCTCAGTGCCAATGGCACATCGATTAGGGCTCATCGACTGATATTAGCCTCGTGCAGCCAGTATTTCGCTCAATTGTTTAAGGTGAGGTAAAAAAAGAAAAAAACGTAGATCTTACAGTAAGGTGCAAAGAAAAAAGCAAAAACGTAGAACGCGATTTCGTCTTAAAAATATCACATATCTTTTGAACACAACAATTTAGCTTCCGTATGTTTGTGTTGGAGAAACTGAATAACTAACCGATTTATTGACTGGATATTTGTTTACAACATCACTACTGAACAAGAGAGTGTTTTTGTGTACTTTCTATTTCGAAGTCCCAATGGAAACGAATAAAAAAAGAAAAGCCACAGCGAATCGTGGTTGGATTTGGCTCGTTATACCTAAAATTTAGGTATGTAAAATGGATACACTTAGAAAAGCCACCCTGTATAAGGGTGGCTTTTCTAAGTGTATCCATTTTATGTAAAGTATTTGCCTCTGAGGAGATTACGTAATTTCTTACCAACAGCCACCAAAGTTGCTCTTGCTCAAAGTCTACTTCTCCCCATTCTCGACTATGCCGACGTCAGCTATCTGGATTTAACCGAACTTGATAAGCTTGAACGTATCCAAAATCTCTGTATAAGATTCATATTTGGCTTACGTAAATATGATCATGTTTCACATTTCCGTTCTAAGCTCAAGTGGTCACCCATTCGACTTCGCCGGAATGCTCATATACTCTCCCTTCTTTACAACGTTCTGTTTTATACTTCGTATCCCCTTTATTTAAAGAAACGTTTTGAGTTTTTACACGAATCCCATCCACATCTTCTGAGATCATCAGAGAATTTGAAATTAAAAATACCTGCTCACAAAACAAAATTTATGGCTAAGTCCTTTATGGTTCAAGGTGCGAAATTATGGAATGCCGTACCTCTGGAGGTGAGATGTGCTCAGTCACTTTCCACTTTTAAAAACCTTGTCAAGAGTCACTATTTGTCACTCTAAATCTGGTTTAGATACAGAATGTATTAACTATGTTTATGGATATATGTATATATGTTATATATAAATATATATATATATTTATTTTGTTATTTATGTACTCATTATTCTATTTATTTATTTATTTTTTACAACAAATTATGTATTTATCTTATAAAATTTATAGAATTTTACCCACACCCCTAAAATATTCTTTTCATATTATGTCCATCCAAAGGTTGCCTGGAAGAAATTGGTTTAAGTAATGAGGCCGCCCATTGTACAACCCTTACATAATTGTTATTTTTTAATGTATTCTTTTTACCATGGTGTGTGCAATAAAGAATATTCATTCATTCATTCATTATCCATTTTTTTTATTAAATTCTAGACATAAATAATGTTATTAAAAAAATGATAAATATTTAAAATCACTCGTAAGTAATTAATTACATTCATTTGAACTTATCTCAAAAAGTGCGTGATTTATACGCAACTCATTTATTTTACGCGCGATCATTCAATACTAACACGCACACAAGTTCGTGCACAGTAAAATTTAGGTATTTATGAATGACTACCGCATTGTCAACACGTTCTGTTTTTTAGGAAATAGAATGACATTTTTTTTGGAAAAAAAATCTTTGTTTTTTATTTCAATAAACGATTATACTACCGAGTCTGAACCTCCTGTGTAAATTTGGACACGTCTCAAAAAATCTCCCTGTATATTATTATATATTTATGTTAGAAATGAAATGAAGATAATTTTTGACTGAATTCAGATAGACTTTTCTGCTTTCCAGGAGAAATGTACGAAGGAAATTTGTAGATACACTTGTATCAACATATATTTAGACCGACTTATTTACGCTTGTGGACCGCAATTAGGTACCCCGTACCCGTAGAACCAAATTTTGTGTAGATACATAAACTTGTATCAAATTACAACATAAGATTTTATATTATAGACTCTAACGACATATCCTTCAATTTTTAAATTGAGATTTATAATTTTGAAAAAAAAAAAGATTGTCGGGAATGCATTAAAAAGTGCCAAAGGGCAATGAACGTCTTAAATTAGATAGGAGTACAATACAATTCGTATACTTTAATTCGCGTAGCAATAACATTTATATTCGCGAAAAATAAACCGACCTAAACGAAGACGTGTCCGGGCGCTCGCCTTTAATTCATGTAGAGCAAATAAATGGGTGGCTGACGTTCAGTGCTCGGGGGAAATTTGATACCCTCTATACAGGTGATGGGGGACGCCCTGATAATTAATTATCTTTACTTATAATTTATTCGTGTCATTTCGGACGGATTCTGAAAACCGTATCAATGCAACCTCACTCGACGGACGAAGGGCAAAATTATAACTTCACGCCTCTACTTTAGCGACTATATTCGCGTAGCAAGAACATTTATATAAACCGACCTAAGCGAAGACGTAATGTGGCACTTGGTGGGCAGAAGTAATGTGCCATTCGGTGGCCACCTTTAGTGCAAGGGGCATTTGAGATCTGACGGGGACGCCCCTGAAGCACTATTCTTCGTGTATCAATCCGCAGGAACTGGAGACGGAAGGGGGCGCCCTGGTCGTGGTGCTGGGCTGCGAGGCTGCCGAGCTGAGGCTGCTCCTGACTTTCATGTACACCGGCGAGGTGACCGCGTCCAAGAGCAGCCTTCCATCGCTGCTACGCCTCGCGCAGACCCTCAAGGTCTCCGGGCTAACGGATTCCGAAACGGTTAGAGAAACTTTATTTCGTTCCGTTCATAATAACGGTTTTAAATATGTGCATGGGTCTTAGTTGAGCAGCAGTATATGCAGTGTATGCACCAGGCTACGGGAATAAATAATCAATAGTACATGTTTACGCCGGATACGTCATACGTTAATCATTTATAAAGCAAGTATATTATATTCATATATATCAAGTATGTATATTCTAAATCAATTAGTTTGTAAACCGCAAAACTCGAGAACGGCTCGAGAACATGAAGGACGGTCGAACTGAGACCTATATGATAGTAGAAACATTTTTGCTCCCGCTTCTCATCTGAGGTAATTGCAGTCAGAGCCCTTTAATACATTAACAGAGAATTTGCAACTTACGTCAGGAATGCGTCGACGGCGGTAAATTCCACCACATGGACCGTTCATTCGGTTGCCACCACATAATGGTATTCTCCAGATGCAAACCTTGAGCATCCTCTCCATGTTGCAGAACCCAACGGTGACGTCGAACGATGCAGAAATAACGGAGAGTTGCACTTACACGAATCTAGAGACGGTGAGGGAAGACCTAACTGAGCTTCGAGACACTTTGGACGGTTATTCCAATCAGCTCGGTGTGCAGGGCGATGCAAAAGAGAGGGAAAGCACTAGTGAACAGATCGGGACAGATAAGGACAGACTGAGCAAACTGGATCAGATAGTACAGAACCTATACAGCACCCATAAGATCACTAGTCCCGTTGATTCCGCCTTCACGCCGCCCCTTTTACCCGGCTTAGGAGGTGAGTACTTAGAATTTTTTCTTTTTATATGAAAAGTTGTCAAGCGAGCTGGCATTCCACCTAATATCAAGCCATTACAGCCACTGATGGACATCTACAACACATAAGAGTTAAAACTTGTAGAAAATTATAATTTGTTGAAAAGGTACGAAAAGATCGACGCCGCTGTGGGAATCGAACCCATCTTCGGCATTCGCGGCCTGACGTTCTAGCCACTGAGCTAAACGGCTGATTGCCGACATGATTGATGACATTGTTTTTTATCATTTGAAGCAATGCTTGGAACATCACTTACCAAGCAAAAGTAAGTATATTACACTTCCACTTCAGGCTGGCCTTCTGTAAGATCGTACTTCCCCGGACGAATGGCCCACCCATTCGTGAAAAGGCAAAAACTATTGTGGCTCTACCACATTAAAAAAATACTAGCTTCCTTAAGATCACGCAATCAGACCCTAGAAGCGTAGAAGTTTTTCGTTTGTCGGATTCCTTATAAACTTAGTAGCTGGAGTAGTGGGAGATCGATTAAAAGATCTCTTGATGTGTGTTCTAGGTCAAACTATATCTGATCTTTTTCACCTAGTCACATTTTTATTCGCTCCTATGCACTAATGCGTGTGTTTTTTGATATGAGAAGGTGGCAAATGGGCTGGTGGTTCACATGATCTTAAGTGATGACCGCCGCCCAACAGTACCGGATTAAGCAAGTGCGGGGCCCGAAGCAAATTATTTCAAACAGCCTTTAATCTGCTATGGGTTCGTAAGTGTAAATTGATAAAAAAAACAATTCAATACTCGTACTTATTTTATAAATAACATGTAACCATGGGCATCTGCAACACCCGTAGCGTTGCCGTACATTGCCACCTTTTAATAAAGTGTGCCCCGGTTACAACACTCACCGGACGAATCGCAGTAGCGTAACACTTCCCCTTCACGCCGTGGCCCCGGACCCCTGCATTCGTGTTGCGCGGCCCTGCCGCAGTTTTTGAAGTGAAACTTCTAACGCGACTTCCGACAAGGTTGCGTTAAACGTTCAACGCTACCATGGAGGGGGTATGAAAGCACCCTTGGGGAGGGGGTATGAAAGCACCCTTGGGGAGGGGGAATAGAAAGAGGCAGAGCGAGAGTGAACGCGTGGCACTCGAAGTTAAAGTTCCCCCGCGCAGAGGGACTCCACGGGCTATTTCTTTTTTTTTGTCAACGGCCGCAACGCTTCCAGCGGTCGCCGCGGAGCCGCCCGGGCCGTGCGACAGGTGGCGCGCGGGCTCCGTGTGCGGCGTGTGCAACAAGCGGCTGAGCAACCAGTACAACCTGCGCGTGCACATGGAGACGCACGCGGGCCGCAGACACGCGTGCCGCGCCTGCAGCCACGTGTCGAGGTCGCGCGACGCGCTGCGCAAACACGTCGCGTACAGACACGCGCCCGGCGCGACCGCCACGCCCCGCCGCTCGGCCACCGCCCGGCTCGACGGCTGACGCGGGCGAAACAGCGTAGGGCGACTACACTCGACAGCGGACGGTCGTCCACCCAACGTAAGCGGTGATCCGTTTCTACAAGAAAACCGACCGCCGCCAGCCCTTGAGTAAAACAATGATCCGTTTCCACCGGACAGCTGCCAGTCGTCAACTCTAAAGTAAAGCAAAAGAAACCACCCGAGTCGCGGAGGATAGCGGAGCGGCTAAATGCAATACCGGCACTCCTTTTCCTCCGCGACTCCTCCTCGGTAGCAGAAGACAGGGAGAATGGCTTCTCCTCCGCCACCCTCAACCTGTCCCCTGCACCCTCCAGCACGCATCCAGAATGCCCCCAATGAGCCCAATCATCCCTTTCCGGCCGGCCTAGTGTGGGTTCCTCTTGGCTTCACCGTGGGTGACCAAGCCACGGTTACTAAGCCCCTTGCACGACGAGGCGGGAACCCGGTCGCAGGGGACTGTTGTCAACCCTTAAGTAAAACCATACAATATTTACAACTTGACGGCTAACGGTTGCCAAACCTAAGGTAAAGCAATATCATAATGTTTTGGGCAGACCCTAAACAGCCCCACTAGTATAAATGTCAATATTATATTTTCAATATTGCAGTTCTAATGTAAAGCCTTATTATATTTTCGACTCGACACCAGCATTTTTTCCGCTGGACGAATGGCTAGAAATTAAGTTACCATGTGATTACCTTCAATATACTTGTTAACAATATTGGCGTGCGATTTGACTTTAAAAAATGATATTATTTTTAAGCCCATCCAAGCATATGTTGGTTTCCCGTTTCCTCCATCTGTACTAAAATTATTCATATCATAGGGACTAAAATTATTATTATAAAACTGATATTACCGATAGTATATAGGTGTATATTTCTTATAAATTGTTAAAATCAAAGAAAACAAAACAATATTATAATTTATACCCTGTAGCATTATGATATAAATCGTTCCATTACTTCTTCCACACAAGATTGTACAGAAGTAGTAATGATGAAACAGATGTTTATCAATTGTTTTATAATGTTACCGTTTTAAATAATTAAAATTTGACCATATTTTTGTAACATTAAGAATAGTGGCTATGTTTGTTATTTAATTTATAACTCATACGATCTATAATGCTGTGATAAAAAACTTAAGTCAGCACAGACACAAAAAGACACTGTTCTTCGATAAGGCACAAGTTACCAAGTAACAATAATTGTTAAATTTTTATTTTATTTATTTTTATATATTTATATAGTCAGTTATTTCCGCCATTTTCAATATTTAGTCGCTAAATCTGGTAATAAGTTTCGAAACTTTTGATCTTTGTTATTTCGCATTTTAGAAAAACTGTTTAATACTTTTTCTTTCATTTTTATTTTCCTATACATATATTATTATTATTATTTTAGCTTTAATTCAATATATTAAAATGTATTGTTCTTTATACATGTTATTTACTCCTGTCTTTGATGTTTGTGATTGTTTATCAATGAATATGTTTTTAAAAAAAATAAGTCTTTATTTCTTAAGAAAAGACACTATAAAAGACAAACTAATTGTAATAAAAATATTTATTAATGTTTACTGCAGTTTAAATTTTACTTAACCATTGTCTTCGCGCATTCTCTTAAAATAGGAATTGAATTACGAGGCCATGTTGCTAAAACTCACCTATCAATCCATGTAATTATGTACATAAATGTGGTAGGGCCTCGCAACATTGTTGCACTAATGGGCAGGTCCTTGATCCGTCCACGTGCCGCGACCACACAGAAGACCGGCGTGAAGTAGAAGTGTCACAATTCTGCGTTTCGTTTGGTGAAACGTCGTGACGGGAACAAACACCCAGATCCGAAGCAATTATCTTCAGGTCACATAAATACTGGCCCCTTGTAAGAATCGAACCAACGACAGCCAAGACAGTGGTAGGTACCACGAGTTCACATAAGACCAACGTAAAGTAGAAGTATTATACTTCTGTTTCGTCTGGTGAGTGAGGTAGGCGGGGCCCACTTCAAGTATACAAAGTTACTCTATGGCCCACTTTATTAATAGGTGATGGGAAGCACTAATTCTATTCTTATCTACATCCCGAGCCTCCTGATTTAGGAAATTAAATCCCTCCATTTTATACAATACAAATGTTCTTGTGAAAATGTTAAATGAAATAACGATACTTAGAAAAGTTCTATATTACCGAAGAATATAGTTAACCCAAGACGGAGTAACCTTCTGCAATTGCACCGTGCAATGAAACCTTCCGCACCATTTTTAGGGTATTCATAGAAGAATTACTACTAACAGCATAATCTTGATTGTAACTCGCTCGCTCTTCAATTGACAAGTGGAATATGAGGTTATTAAATGAAACAACCAGATTATACAAGTGTACACAATTTTTTTTTTATCTTAATTCATTTTAGTAGAAATTACTTTTAAAAAAAAAACGACAGAAAAATCGATCACAAAATTAGATATAGTACAAAAATACCGTTTCGAACTTCTGAGCTTTGTTCTCGATGAACACTTGAACGAAGCGAAAATAATGTCGACGCAAGTTAGTTGAGAACTGAAGTGTATCAAAAAAGAGATCTCGCAAAAATTGGCCATGTATAAACGTCACTAGTCTAATTACAAAATTTTCAAAGAATCTTAGGAACTGTATTCATAATACGACCACAATGGCTTTGAAGTTTTGCTTTCTATTGTTTGTGATTTATAAATAAGAAATAAAACACATTGTGTCATAAATAGGGTCCAGCCAAAAGAGCACAAATGTTTTGTTTTAATTCAATAGTTTGAATACTTTATTCAATTTAACATTCAAATTTATTTTTTAAAAGCCGGTGATATGGAGATTTATTAAGGGAGAATTGTTAAATCGAATTCAATAGACTTCACTTAGATTAGTTAAGGCTAATCAACTTTTACAACTAATGCAATACCATTTTGGGACTGACTGAAAGATGTGGATACAAATATTTTTGTTTAAAAAGACATAAGTGCAAGTTATGTATGTGCTTTATATGTACTTTCATTAAAAAGGTTACATATGTCAGTGTAAAGGAGTGTTGTCATTAAGCATTTATTTGGAATAAAATCTTGATGACCTGATGAGAACCAGAACATTTGGTGAAATTACGATTATCGATTAGTTTACCATAGCAGAGATTTCAAAATTCACTAGCCTAGAATTTCACAAATAAAGCACATACTGAAAATTTTAGTCAGCCCCTAAATAACTATTACATATAGATTAATAATAAACGTTAAAAATACAAAATGCAAATTTAGTCACTCGATTTAGTAACAGCATTACTTAACAAACTGAGCATTCAAAACACTTAAAGACTTAAAGTAAGCAAAATAAATATGTTAGTATCTCGATAGTATGCTAATAAAATTTCTCTGAGTTACAAATATATTATATAATCATAGTTTAGTTCTTACTGGGAACATTGACACCGTCACTGGGGCTTTATATAATGGTAATAATCATGTCAGAATTGAACTTAATTTGACATTAAATGTAGCTAGTTGTCACAGCTTTTTTATCAGGATATGATTTCATTTTAACCCTTCTCGAATAGGGTTTACTAATTAATGATATTTTACAACAAATCCTTAAACATTAGTAAACTGATTCAAGGTTATTTTACACCACACATTGTTTGGTGTTTTAAAAGACAGATTGAGTTTTACGAATGTCATGCTACAATTCTTTTTTAAACTAATAAATTATAATGAACGTTACAAACAACTGTTACTGCAAAAATAATATCATAACTGCGTTACTAATTATCTATTACATGCACGGTGTTTTATGCCAATTTACAAAGGAGTTCCTCGCAATGAGTTCTATTGTGTGATGTCCCCTAAACGGTGTGCGCAAAGTCGGTGCAATGTCCCCAGCTGGGAAGCGACAAGCCTGTCGCGCTCAGGCCTTCGGCACGTTCCAAACGCGAGTGTTGCCATCTTGACCCACTGACACGACACTCTCGTCGTCCAGCCACGCTAGGCCCGTTATCTGGCTTTGCGGATGCGCGTCTGAAATGGATTGAAGGATTTTTTGATATCGATAATCGGTCAATCAAATCGAAGAACAGAGCCGTGATAGCTCAGTGTCCAGGCGCTCGCCTTTAATTTTATATACTCGAAGCAACATGAGTTCAATTCCCGGTGCCGGCATCAATGAAATTGTCAATTTTAAGTGCTGAGTTATCACGTGCTCAGCGGTGAAGGAAAACATCGTGAGGAAACCTGCATATTTTCGAAATAATAACCAAAAAAAAAATCCGAAGTTGAGGCACGTGGTCCGACACTACTATGCCCTGATACCCTCTGTACAGAGGAGGCCTTTGCCCAGCAGTGGGACATGTACAGGCTGATACTTCTTACTTCTAAATCGAAGAATTATTACACACATAAATTTGAGTTTTGAATAATATCTTTATTATATAAGGAACGATTATTATACGTGCAATTGTCACGAATGGACAGGTCCATCCGGGTCTGTACCACAACCTCGCAGAAGACCGGCGTGAAGTAAGTGTTACACTTCTGAGTTTCGTCCGAGTGAGATAGCCAGGGCCCACTTTATTATAAGTTGGCAACGTATCTGCAACCTTAGAGGTGTTGCAAATGTCAATGGGCGCTAGCCACATTCTCACATAAGTAAAATCTTTTCAAATTTACAGCTAGTTACATACTAGACATAAATGTATCGTGACAAAAGTCTTTTTACCTACACAAACTGAAATAAGGCCAGCACTCGGGTCCATGTTAAATTTTAGCAAACACTGCTCATATAAAAAAAATCCTATGACAGAATCAAATCTATTACTCAAAAAGCCTTTAGATGTTTCGCTAACGCATTTGCTTTGAATTATTGCTTGATATTTTGCCCCAAGATAAAAAATACATACAGATAAGTGATGTAGGTAATTTCTTATCTTGGTTAATGCATTAAAAAACATACGTACATTAAAAAAGTACCTTCTTTAGAACTTTCAAATTATAACAAAGTAGTTTAAACTAAACAAATATCATATTATCATTGAGATAAATAATATAATGATTTTTTTAATATTTTTATATTATAAATATTCTCTTTTTATACAAGGAGGCTTTTCTAAGTGTATCCATTTTTTTAATTAATTCTAGACATAAATAATGTTACATACAAAATTATAAATATTTAAAATCACTCTTAAATAATTAAATACATTCATTTGAACTTACCTCAAAAAGTGCGTGATTTATGGGCAACTCATTTATTTTACGCGCGATCATTCATAACTAACACGCACACATGTTCGTTTCAAAAGTATACGACGCATTTATGAATGACTGCCGCATTGTCAATAAGTTCTGTTTTTTAGGGAATAGAACGGTATTTTTTTTTTAAAAAAAAGTTTGTTTTTATTTCAATAAACGATTATACTACAGAGTCTAAACCTCCTGTGTGAATTTGGGCACCTTTAGAAGAGCCACCCTGTATATACTTTGGTTTATGATACATTACGGTAGTATGTATAGACTCACTCTTAATTATGGTGTGCTTAGCTGGTTGATCAACGTTCCATATGATGATGGTGGTATCAAGAGAGCCTGAAGCAACCCTCTTGGAGTCAGGAGACCAAGCCACGCAGTTCACGCGAGCAGAATGGAAACCCCACTCCTTATTATGGGCCAACTGCGGAACCAAAACCTTCTTAACATATGTCTTATGTAACATAATATGTCGTATATACACATCATTATCATCAGTTGTACAACTGTCGATCAGTTTTAATGCAAATAGCATAGAATGGAGGCCATTGTTTTAAAATTAAATGAGTGATAAATTCAACAATTATTTTATTTCATGACTAGCTTTTCGCCCACGGCTTCGCTCGCATTGAAACCTTTAAATAATAAATATCTTTCAACCCTTTACAACAAATTTCCAACATTTTTCCAATTAAAAAGTAGCCTACGTCCTTTCTCAGACTCTAGACTATCTGTGTACCAAATTTGATCTAAATCGGTTCAGTAGTTTTGGAATGAAAGCGAGACAGACAAACAGAGTTACTTTTGCATTTATAATATTAGTATGGATGACAACTTTTGAAGAAATCCAGTAGCATAACTTTATGTTTAATGCTGTATCCTGAAACAAGACCAAAGATACACAGGGTTCGACTAAGATCTCACCATTCTCCATTTTTATTAAAGATAAACAAAACCGACTTCAAATAACTCATTCCGTATTGATTTTATAATTGATTTGCAGGATTTTCCTAAGAATTGAGAACCTCCGCCTTTGAAGTTAGTTAAAAAAAAAAAAAAAAAAAAAAAAAACAGCATTTGACCATATAAGTCCATGTTATTAGTATTCAGAGGGGTAGAGCCATACCTTGTACTCTTCAACACTGTAGAGTATCAGTTTCCTGTTGGCATCGCTGGCCACGAGATAGGCCGAGTCTGGGCTGTAGCGTACATCTGTTACCGGGCCAAGGTGTGTCAACTCAGTCTTCGGTGTCAGTGAGTACTCCTGGAGACTGTAGATATGAACTTTGCTGTCGGCACCTATGCATAGATGGCAATAATTATGCACACAGGTAAATTGGAAATATGTTTGTTGTTATTTATAGATAAGCAATAGTTATTTAAGAAATTGGTCATTGTATAATATTTAGCAATAAATGTATATAATAATTACAATCAACTTTTTTATTGCCCTTATGAAGTACCTTTTCTTCAGGGCACCTCATATTGCTGCTATGCAGAAACATAGTGCCGTGTCCAAATAATGTTAATAAGAATTCATTTGAACCTTGAATAGCAGAGTTACATCAACTGAGGCTGACTGTCATGAACTGAATGGTGTTTTATTTTCAATAATTCGCTAAACTAATTTAATGTAACATTTTAGGATTAAATTTTATTTTTGGTACTACTAGTACTACTACTACTACTACTGGTATTACTTGTCTCTGCACTCGAGATCAAATTTAAAATTGTGAATTTTGCGTTTAAGCGAACGAAGACAAACACGCGGGTTCGAATCCAGCAGCGCGGAAATTTTTTGTTCATTATTCGATAAAAATTCGCAGTTTAACGTAACCTACCACCGACGGCGACGTGCTTATTGGCTGCGTCGATGGCGACGCAGCTGGGCTCGTACGGCAACGGTACACCCGCTCGACGGCTACCACCAACCACCACCACCAACTGGGGAAGTTAAACAATCCGGTGAAGCAAATGCACAAAACCGTCCCATTGCTAGGCAAAAGCCCTCTCTGTACAGGCCATCTCCGTTGCGAATTGGCAGATTTGCACTTAAGATGAAACATTAAAATTGTGGAAAAAGTGGAAAAAATGGACGAAAATCTTCCGGATTCGCGCATAGACGCTTTAACCATTAAGCAGTAAAACAGTTGATGACAAAAACATTTTATCTGCATTGTTTTTGCATTTTAATTCAATCATGAAGACGTGAGTTCCTATTTCCGCACGAACGAAACTTTTTCGACCACTCTTTCTGCGTTGAAGTTATATTATTTTTTTTATGCGAAAAGTTGTCAAACGAGCAGACGGTTCACCAGATGTTAAGTGAATACCGCCGCCCATTTGTCACACTTCCACTTTACGCTGGCCTTCTGTGAGGTCGCAGTACTTCAAACCCAGGCGGCGATTGTCCCAACTGACCTCTTTGACTGTAGCCACTATGGTGAGGTCACCATCGGCTAGGTGGTCCATAGCGCGCGGTTGGCTGCCCAAAGTGACACTGGCGCTTTCGTAAACAGCTACCTCACCTGAAATAGTAATTGAAAAATTTACAATTGCTGCAAACCCATTTTTAATCCCCGTAGTTATAATTGAATTAAATACAAATTAATGATTAAAATCAAAACAAGATCAAATAAAGTAACAATGAGTTACAATTGAATATGATAATAGAAACAATTAATTACATATATTATCTTAAATTTTTTAGTAGCCATTTAATCGGCTTTCATGTCTTATTCTTATAGCTAGGCCTACGCTCTGGCCAATATTACTACGGGGCCCCAGACGGGAGGCCTACCTTCGGCGGGGGGCCTGGCGAAGCGGAGCGTGTCGTCGATGCCGCACGTGATCAGGGCTCCGCCCTCGCCCACGCTCATGCCGTTCACCTGGTTGCCGTGGCCGGCGCCGCCCACGTGACGGCCCTCGCCTGAAACGGGACCACACTGCTCGTTGAACAACACACAAGAACTTGAAGACGACCACACCCGCATTCGAATATACAGACACACACACACAAACACACGCAACACAAGCACGCGCACATCCATATTTTGCGATCTGAACAGCTTAGTGAATTATAACATATGCGCACATTTAAATTTTTATATTTAGTTTTTATAGTGCCAATCTCTGCACTTAATTAGATGATGATAGATTTGTAGATAAAATCAACGAAAAGTTTCTCGCCGCTCCGGGAATCGAACCCACGTCTACTGGAAGCTCCCAGACGCTTTAACCACTAAGCTAAACGGCTGATTTCCGCGCCAACTAAAATCGCAACCTATCTAATGTATGTCCTTTACAGCACACACTTGTATAGTTGCACAGAAATTTTCACATATAACATACCTAACAAACTTTTTACAGGCATGAATTACTATTTAGTTTATATTATTAAAATTTAGTTTGCTATTTAACTTGTTACTTGTTACTCACTGTTACATGCACACATTAAATAAAAAAAAAAATATGTTTGATCGAAAGTGAAGCCATATCTCCAATTATCTACAATTTAAAATTTTATTAATTGTATTATATTTTCGCATAGTTTTGAGTGAATAATATAATATTTTTAAAAGAAAATAATGTGTAACGCCCGGTTCCTATGTTCACAAAACGAGTAGTTTTCCTTACGAGCTGTTACACTACTCACAGACAGTCAGTTACTTTTATCCCCATAACCCATGGGTCGTTATGAAAGTTAAAAGGAAGCTAAACCTGGTTCCTACATTCATCGAACGGCCGTTAGTTACATTTTCATTATGAAGTTGTTACAACGAACCGTTATGAATGTTACGAAACTATGTAACTAACGGCCGCTCGTTGAATATAGGAACCGGGCATATTTCGGCGATCGGCTACCGGTGGAGGTGTTCCAGGCGGTGACGCAGCCGTCGTGGCTGGCGGTGAACACCGTCTTGGTGACGGGCTCGAGCGCCAGGCAGGTGATGGGCTTGTTGTGGCCCATCAGCACCCGCAGCGGCACATCAGGGTTGTCCACATCCAGGTAGTTGATCACTCCCGACAGCGAGACGGAGAGCAGGTGCTTGCCTTGCCACAGGCAGGAGACCTGTGGACAGTTACCGATGTGTATTATAGCGTGTGTTCGCCCAGCGTTGGGCATACGCCTCTCCAATTTTACTCCATTTGGCACGTCTCTTTGTTTCCCTTGTCCAGACTGGGCCTGCTGTCTCCTTTATGTCATCGGACCATCGGGCTGGTGGTCTGCCCACACTTCTCCTGCCTAGCCGCGGTCTCCACTCCAGAACGCGAATTATTTCATATTGTATTTTTATTCACATCATCTGTTGGTCCACGAATGAACAGGTCTGTCCGGGGAATTAACACGACCTCACAGGAGACCGGCGTGAAGTGGAAGTGTTATACTTCGGCTTTTCGCCTGGTGAGGAAGTTTATTAAAAAGTGGCAACGCATCTGAAACCCTACGGGTGATGCATGTTATTGGGCGGCGGTTATCACTTGACAGTTATATCATCATATGCATTGTATGTTTTAACTTTTATTTCCTCAATTGTGAATGAATGAATGAATGAATGAATGTTCTTTATTACACACACAATGGTAAAAAGAATACATTAAAAATAACAATTATGCAAGGGTTGTACAATGGGCGGCCTTATTACTTAAAGCAATTTCTTCCAGGCAACCTTTGGATGGACATAATATGAAAAGAATATTTTAGGGGTGTGGGTAAAATTCTATAAATTTTATAAGATAAATACATTCTTTGTTGTAAAAAATAAATAAATGAATAGATAAATGAGTACATAAATAACAAAACAAATATATATATATAACATATATACATATATATATATATAAACATAGTTAATACATTCTGTATCTAAACCAGATTTAAAGTGACAAATAGTGACTCTTGACAAGGTTTTTAAAAGTGGAAAGTGACTGAGCACGTCTAACCTCCAGAGGTAGGGCATTCCATAATTTCGCACCTTGAACCATAAAGGACTTAGCATAAATTTTGTTTTGTGAGGAGGTATTTTTAATTTCTCTGATGATCTCAGAAGATGTGGATGAGATTCGTGTAAAAACTCGAAACGTTTCTTTGAATAAAAGGGATACGAAGGATTAAACAGAACGTTGTAAAGAAGGGAGAGTATATGAGCATTCCGGCGAAGTCGAATGGGTAACCACTTGAGCTTAGAACGGAAATGTGAAACATGATCATATTTACGTAAGCCAAATATGAATCTTATACAGAGATTTTGGATACGTTCAAGCTTATCAAGTTGCTCCTCGGTTAAATCCAGATAGCTGACGTCGGCATAGTCGAGAATGGGGAGAAGTAGACTTTGAGCAAGAGCAACTTTGGTGGCTGTTGGTAAGAAATTACGTAATCTCCTCAAGGATACTGCAGAGGCAAATACTTTGCGGCTAACCTCTTGTAACTGGGGTCCCCAGGATAAATTTTTATCAAACTGGATACTACTGTGCTCAAGATTTAAGTTAAAGCCAACACTCTAATTGCTCACGACTGACACGCAGAGCCTTTATTTACCATATTCACCATGATATTGCTCGTTAAAGAGTAATATGAATATTGTGATACCACAATAGAACAAATTGCATTCGACTATAATTTCTGTGTACAGTGCGCTGTGATCCAATACCTGTTGGTTCTCAACGGCGTTGCCCATGTTGAAGGTGGTGGTCCTCTGCATGGTCTGGACGTCCCAGATGGCGCAGCTCTTGTCTCCGGAGCAGGAGAGCAGCCTCTGGCCGTCCGGAGACCAGGAAATGCCGTACACACCGCCCTTGTGCGCTGGCGAACCGATCTGTGAAGCATTAGGGAACTTTCTTAAATGGATCTTTCATAATTAAGTGAAATTAATAGGTGACTGGAATGAGCTATGCAACTGAAAACTCATTACACCTGTTCAATTATGCTGTTTCAAATCAAATTCTAATCTGTACAAAATTAGAGTCCACAATAAAATAAGATTAACACAGTGGGGCCACGCAACGGCATCTAGTGTTACACTAATTTTATTTTGGTTATTTTTAAAACTTTAGACATTCATCTGCAAGTAGTGTAACTGTACAAGATTAGAATCTATAATGAAATACGTTTACCATAGTGGGGCCACGAAACAGCCTCTAGTGTCGCTCTAATTATATTATTATTATATATTATTTTTAAAACTTGGGCAACACAAATAACAAAATTTTACATTATAAAGTCGATAATAAAATACGATTACCATATGCTTCTAATTTTATCGTTAACTATTTATATTATTAATGCATTATATAATTTAAAAAGTTTACCAATGCATCTATAAGCGTATCTGTACAAGATGCGAGTATAATAATTACGGTAATACGGTAGTATAATAATTGCCACGCAACAGTGTTCGCTGTTGCACGAATGGGCAGGTCCGTCCCCGTAAGTACCACGACCTCACAGAAGACCGGCGTGAAGTAGTCTGCTGAGTGAGGTAGCCGGCGCCCACATTATTACGAGGTGGCAACGCATCTGCAACCCTATGGGCGTTGCCAAATGTCCATGGGCTTCAGGTGAACCGCCAGCTCGTTTGCCACTTTCTCACATAAAAAATAATAATAATAAAATACGTTTACCATTATGGTACCACATATCAGATTCTACTGATATTCTAATTTTACTGCTGTTATTTTATATTATTTTTAAAACTTTGGCAACGCATCTGCTAGTAGTATAGTATGGTCGTTTATCATTCATTTGAAGTAATGTAGTGTAGTTATTCAACAGAATTATAACGGCCAGAGAGCTCGCGCCCTTTTTGAAACAAAAAAAAAAGCTAAACATTACCTCCCCCTTCAGCTCGGAGGTGGCGCCGTCGAACAGATATATCTTGCCGTCGAAACCGGCCGACGCGAACAGACCGCCGTCGGGGCTGTAGCGTACCGCTTGAGCGAAACGCGTGTGCTCCTGGAGGCGACAAGTTCGTCATTCGGTGACAGGCTCAACGATTGATAGGAGCATGAAATCACTCAATTCAATTCAATGGTTCATTTGCCATCGAAGTCTACAGTATGTAAATAGGTGTTACAATAAAAAAGTATGCAGAAACTTAGATGCCCTTTCCAGGCACTGAAAATTTTTAATGGACACTGCTCGCTTAAATGTTAATTAAATTAAACGAAACAACACAAACGACACACTTTGTCAATTATGCGAATACAACGTAGGGATGTCGAAAAAATATATCGATATTTTTATCCGTTATATTTGGATCGATATAAAATATTCAACATCGAAATCTTATCAAAAACGATATTTTTAAACGGTTTTATTAAACGGTTTTATTTAGCTCAACCCGTACGGAATTTGTTTATTTATTTGGGTCAAAATTAGAAATTGAAATTTAAGCACCTTCCCGTTGTCAGATTGATCTGAAATTTGGTACACACATTTAATTTAGATGACAATACAATATTGTAGTTTTTAGTGCACATAAAATAAAACCGTTTAACTTAAAAGTTTTTAAACGGTTTTATTTCTATTCGAATCCGGCACAGACATATTTTTTTTTTTCTTTTGGACAACTTTCTCTTCGATATATCGAGAGCGATATTAATATTTTTATATATCGATATTTTACTATCGGTATATCGATATATTTCTTCACTTTCAACATTCTAAGACTCATTTGGAATCTCCCCTCACAACACATCAATTATTGTACATTAATAATAAACTGTCGCAGAGTCACAGAACAGTCTTCGCTATTGCACGAATGGGCAGGTCCGTCCTGGTTGTGCTTACCTCGCAGAAGACCGGCGTGAAGTGGATGTGTTATACTTCTGCGTCGTCTGGTGAGTGAGGTAGCCAAAGCCTACTTTATTATAACTTGGCAACGCATCTGCAACCCAACGGGTGTTGCAATATCTATGGGAGGCGGTAATCACTTAACATCGGATGAACCGCCAATTTAGCGGGCTTGTTTGTCACCAAAAAAAAAAACTAACTTCTACTCAAAACTTACTTACTAAACATCTAAATAGTCACAAAAAAAAACACTATGACACATTTAAAGCGTCCATCTAACGTTCGGCGTCCCTCATGCCGATCTCCACCCACCTGCTTGGTGCACTTGAATTTGAACGGCGGCCCCTCGAACACCGCTATGGTGTTGTCCTCCGACGCGGTCACGATCCTGAAAGGCCTGGACGGCCTGAAGTCCACCGAGTTGATGGGCTTCGACTGGCCGCTGATTTCGCCCACCGACGTGCCCGTCTCCGCCATGAACACGTGGCCGAACCTGCGGGGCAAAAAGGACCCTCTGGTGTAGCAGATCTCCATGGGCGGCGGTATTCGCTTAACATCAGGTGAACCACCGGCTTACCTGACTAGTTTTCAATTGACAAAAAAAAGTTAAGACAGACTTGTTCTCGAGCAGCGAAAGCAGACGTTCTATATCAATTAGGTTAACTTTATTCTTTTAACAAGTTTCTTGTAGAGAATACCCGCATTAAAAACACATAGTAAATATAATAATTGAATTAAATAATAGTTATATACGTCACATATACCATTAAGTAACAAATTCCTACGGCTGTATCTAAATTCTTATGAAAAAACAAACCTTATAGAAAAAAAAATGGTTGAATATGAATAGTGGTTTAAGCGTCTAGGCGTGAATTCGGAAGACGTGGGTATCGATTCCCGCAGCACCGGAAGAGTTTTCGTCCATTTCCCAACTAATTTTAATAGATCCAACGTTTCTGTTTACTAACACGATTCAGATGCGTCTCCAAATAGAGCTGTGAGTGGCTTCTGAGCCAATAACGAAATAACTCACTTCTCACGGCCCTCGCCCACCACGACCATGCGCTGGCTATCGGCGCTCCAGGCGATGTCCTTGATCGGCCCACCGATCGGCTGGAACTCATTCTTGAGGATATGCTCCTTGTTAACGGTGTCCCAGATTCGCACCTTGCCCGAAGCGTCTACGAAAAAAACAAGTACATCACACGACTGAAGTAAAACATCTTTTATAATCCATCCATCTGTTATAATTCTATTCACTTTAAACGTAGAATATTTAATGTATTGAACAAAATATTGATGGGTAAACAGGCAGCCAAATCGGTCCAGCCGTTATCGAGTTGTAGCGAGACTAACGAACAGAATTCCATTTTTATATATAAGAAGATTGATATTGGTCCACGTTATAACATGCCCTTTAATAAGAATTGTTTTAACAATAAAATTGTTAAAACGATTCTTATTAAAATTGTAGGCATATTCGACACGTAATTTGAGCATGAACAATAAATATGACATCCCGACATTACACGTTTTTTGCCAGTTATACTTATACCGAAATAAGTATTACTAGATACGTATTGGAGCCGAGATAGCTAAGTCCACACGTTTGCTTTTAATTGATAATACTCAAGCAACCAGAGTTCAAATCTCGATGCCGACACCAATAAAATTGTTAATTTTAAGTGTCTACTTACTGAAACCTACATATTTTCGTAATAATAACAAAAAAAAAATCGAAGATATTATGTAAAGTCCGCCAACCCGCAGGTCCGTCGCGTGGCGGACTATCCGTACTAATCAATACAGATAAATAAATCGGAGTGTCTGTTTGTAATATTAAAATAACCGCTTTGTACTAAATACATATGGATGTATACACGGTACATATAAATGACATTTTTTACGATTTTTGTGTGTCTGTCGGTCTGTCTGTTTGTTCCGGCTAATCTCCGAAACGGCTAGACCGATTTCGACGGGACTTTCACTGGCAGATAGCTGATGTAATAAGGCGTAACTTAGGCTAATTTTATTTTAGATTTTTTTCATTTAAATTCCACGCGGACGAAATCGCGGACACAGAATTGAACTCCGCCGAAACGGCACAACCGATTTTCGTGAAATTTTGTGAGCATATCGGCCAGGGTGGCGAATCGGACAACATCTATTTTTCATCCTCCTAAATGTAATGGTGGTCCCCCCCCCAAACATTTTTTATGGCAATACAACGTTTGTCGGGACAGGTAATATTATAAACGCGAAAGTTTGTGTGTATGGATCGATGTTTGTTACTCTTCCACGCAAATACTACTGAATGGATTCTACTTAACCTTACAATAATATAGCTTATACATCAGAATAAGACATAGTGGCTATAATTTAAGTAGATATTTTATCTATCTGTCTTTCTGTCTGAATGATACGCCTTCAGCGTATTCTACGCAGACGTAGTTGCGGACAGCTGCAAGTGTCTTAATACAGACAGTATTAGGGCATAGTCTTATCACACGAGAAGAGGAGGCCTTGGCCCAGCAGTGTGACACATAGGCTGTAACTTTCGTTTTTTCTTTTACGGATTGTAGATACAACTGATGTTTTCTAATTAGATGTTCGACAATACATTTTTCCGACGTTTCACATGTTTCTAAGCTTAATCTTTAATTTTATGAACTTGCCAGCTTCATTTCGAAACAAGATTTCGTTAGTTCGACGAAATGTTGACTCTAAAAAAAAGAATCATAAAATCGGTTCATCACATAAAAAAACATATACTTATATATACCGTCGAATTGATAAACAATCGAAATAATATCGTTATCGAACAACAAATCAAAAAAATATCGTTTTAACCGACTTCAAAAAAGGAGGAGTTTTTTTAAGTTAAAAACGATATTGATTCGCGCGTTTTAGTCTTACAATTCTCCAAATTTCCTATACATATCGCGTTTTAAAAATATCCCCGGACGTTATTATGAATGTCAAACAATTTACATTTGATATTTCGCCGCAAACATACCGCGTCCCGTATAAAACACCAGCCGCGTCGTGGCAACACGCCAACTGGAGCGATAAACTGTACCAATTTAAACCGCTTAGAAACTAAGATGGGCCGCCGCGCCGCTTTTCTAGTGCTATGTGGCGCTTTATTTAAATGTGTAATCGTACAGCAATTGTTTCTACGCGGTTAAAAACATGAAAAAATACGAATTCAACGAGCATAAAATGGCCGCCGTGTTGCCGAGGCGTGACCGCGGCGCAAAATGGCGATTCGCGCCATTTTTTCCGTCATCATTTGAAAACTCGGAATCGGAAAGATGCGGCCAAACGCCGAATAAAAGGTCGCTGAACCGAATGTCCTTGGAAGCGCAACTTATGAAGTGATTCACATCAACAGGTTTTAAATAAACTGTTAAGAGATACATATTTTGTTCGATGTTGATCACAGTAGATCTCTGACCACGAACCTTGTGCCTAAAACTCTGGAACGAGCTACTCTAACCACAAACACTCGCGTATGACATCTACAGTAATATAGAATAAAACAAGAATACGCGTTTCGGTTTCCTTTCATTTTATTGGTTACGAAAGCTCTCTTTCACGCAAATACTACTGAATTAAATTAAATTATTTTAAGACACATTTTTACACAACATTTTCTAGTCCCAAACTAAGCAACGCTTGTATTATGGGTACTAGAAAACTGATAAACACACTTAAACATACTTTTTTTTGTAAATAAATATATATTATAGACATTTAAACACCCAGACACTAGAAAAACACTATGTTCATCACACAATATTTTTCCAGTAGTGGGGATCGAACCTAACCCTATGCAACTACCACTACGCCATTTGGGTCGTCGTATGGATTTTAATGAAACTACACAGATATAATATAGAATTTATGTAAACTGAAACGAATACGCAGACGTAGTCGCGGGCAGCAGCTAGTATCTAAACATATTTTGACGAGCCGGATATTTTCCTTCCGATATCCCCACCATCATCATCCTTTTGCCCTTATCCCACCATGGTGGGGTCGGCACAACACGAGAATCATGTTGTAAGCGGTCTTGGCTGTGTTTTTTACGACCGGCCGCCTGCCTCACGTCGACCCTCCTTGGAAAAGAAACAACCAGATCGGGAGAAATTTTATGGCATTTCATCTAATTCGCAACATTGTCTTTTCAGTTTTAACTGTTGATGCTCAAAGGCCTCTTACACACGACAAATACTAATGCATTAAGAGGGATAAACCTAATAAGGTTTCCTTCTAACAAATGTCTTTTTTAATGAGAGAAGATTACAGAGCGGCTCATTTCATGATAGCTCCATCCATCATCGTTTCCTAAACACTTTTCAAGACAGACTGTAAAACCTAACCCATAAGGAAATATTTCCTATCTATGGGAAGCTGTCATGAATCGGATAGATAAACTGGGCTACCGTGAACTACATTACTTATTTCATTTTTACCTACGCAAAAGGAGCTTACGACATTTTGAGGTCGTCTAGTGTGCCGGTGCTAAGCCTCAACCATCTTCTATTCGTTATTTTTGTCTGTTTTAAAAAATACCCTCTCTTTAGGATAACATTATCCTGTTGTAAGGACGTTTCACAAACATAATTTTCACATGGACAAACACCTAGATGCGAGACGTCTGTGGGTCACACAATTGCCAATGTGTGACCCACAGGCTTTATACCAAATACCTTGGCAACTGCGCTACGGAGTTATCTCCATTAAATTAAGCACGTTTCTTTATTTCAAGCCTCATGGTTCATCCTTGGAAGGAAATGGAATAAACAGTCATGCATTAGCAGAATGGATTAGCCTGGCCCCTCTCCAACATTATAGGCTGAGCTAAGGCGGTATCGTGACTAAGCTGTATGTCAACACATTCATTGGCAACCGTTTGGCTGAACCCGAAAAGCTTACCGCAACCGATGCCTAATTTTTGTATCGCCCTACAGATCTCTAGCAATTTCATATTTGGCGGCTACCGATTCCACACTATTGCTTCCATATCTCTTTGTGTCTGAGAGTAGAGTCTATTAATAGTCTGTTTTTTTTTCTTTTTTTTTTTAAAAAAACATTGCCCTTACTATAGGATAAATTTATCCTGTTGGAAGGACGTTTTACAAACATAAATTTCACGCGGACAAACACCCAGATGCAAAACAACTATCTGTGGGTCACACAAATAGTTGTCCCGTGTGGGGATCGAACCCACGAACCTCGACGCCGAAGCCAATACCTTAGCAACTGCGCCACGGAGTCATCAAATATATCATATAATGTTCTATTAATATATGTCTGTTAGCTGGTAGATTTTATATTTACCACTGTTCGAAAATTAGATTGATGAAATTATTACATCAGGTATCATAAAGGCCTGTCAAAATTTATCTGCTGTCATTGACTTCTGCGCCTCGAATGTTCACGTACAATATCCTACTTTCATCTACTTTACAGCTTTCGTCGCAGCTTTAGCCGTGTAGATAATTTTTGAAATCCGATGGGTAGGGCTCACTCAAAACACGGACATCGCTATCCAGTTCCAAATTGTACGACCTGCGTACAATAAAAAAAAAAGCCAAGCGAGCCGGACTAGCGCACGAAGGGTTCCGTGCCATTCTATAAAAACGGCAAAAATATCAGCGAGTTCTTAGTAATGGGGCCCCCGTTTTACCCTTTGGGTAAGGAACCCTAAAAATGCTAGGTTGTTTCTCACAAATTTAACGATATTCGTGCACCACAGAACACCTAATAGGTTTGGTGACAACGGGCGGTTTTGAGTTTCGGAACAATGTATGGCTCTAAACAAAGCGGTGTAAACGGAAGTCGATATCCGGCCTAGAGATGACGTCACTCATACGTTGTGCGACGTCACTCGACACAAGCGCAGTCGTAAACAAAGCACCCCAGCCGTGTCGGACATTGACTGATGTTTCGCTTTCAGCCCGTAGACTATTAGAGTTTGTGACTAGTAGCTAGTTCATTACCAATGAAATTAATATGGCACCACATAAACCAAACGCAGTAGAGTAGAATTTTTAAAATCGGTTCATAAATGTTTATTACTTCAGAACTCTTGCAAAGTACAAATACTATACAGCGTGTCGTAACAACCGCGACAATAAATGAACACACGTCTAACGCTACTTCCCAATAATCATAAAAAATATAAAACGTTAAAAAATTTTTGTTCTTTGTTTTGAAAACTTTAATAACTCGGTAAAATTGATGTTTAAAGAATGTAAATGTTTAATATAATTTTAAAAAGTTATCCTCTATATGTGTGTTCACTTATTGTTGCGATTGTAATGACACGCTGTATATATTAAAGGTACACGTTTTCTCTGTTTCTTTCTTTTTGTTAAACATGGCCATTACTTTAAGATAACATTATCCTGTATTGAAATGACGTTTTACAAACATGAATTACACGTGGACAAACAACTGTCTGTGGGTCAAACAAATAGTTGTCTCGTGTGGGAATCGAACCCACGACCCCCGACGCCGAAGCCAATACCTTGGCGACTGCGCCACGGAGTCATCACTATACACAATGCTTGATAAAACAGGAATAATCAATGTTTTCTCTGGCGCAAGAGACAGGACTAGAGACAGGACCCTACGCGAAATGGATCGTCAATACTTTTATATATCAAATCATGTAACAAACGTAATGTTGCCTGATTCACATGTTGCTTGTATTATTTTTCCTACGCGAAAGGCAAAAGCGGCCAAGCAATGTGCGCCGATCAACGAGACAGTAATCCGTGTCGACGTAACTGTTATTTTAATAACAAAATAACCGCAACGCGCTAACGTCGGCCAATTCGTGCGATATAATGGATTTCTCCTCGAATCCGTTATATTAGGAGTACGTTCGACAATGTAGCGGTTGAACGATCTAATAAGTGAATGGTCGCGGGTTCAAATCTGAGTGAAACGAAGAATTCTTTGACAAAATACGAAACCGTGGTAACAAGAATTGAAGTCACTTCTTATAAGTGGTCGGTCGCGTGTTCTAATGAAAGCGAAAATAATAATTCGTCGACAATAAGAAACGCTTGTAATAAGTCCGTTAAAAATAAAAAAGGTATAAAGGCTCCAAATTTAGGATGATATTATTAGTGCATTAGTAGGGCATTATAAATACAGAATACGTTATTAGTGTATTAACGAATAACGATGTAAATACACCACCTGCACAGACTCAGATTTTGAACAAATCACACAAATACTTGTCCCCTTTGGGAAACGCACGTGACCGCGAAATAAACAAATAAATATTTAGGACACATTTTTACACAACGTTCTCTAGTCCCAAACTAAGCGAAGCTTGTACTATGGGTACTAGATAACTAATAAGCATACTTAAATATACTTTTCTTTTGTAAATAAATACATGTTATACATATATAAACACCCAGACACAAGAAAAACACTGTGTTCGTCACACAATCTTTTTCCAGTAATGGGGATCGAACCCACACCCTCCGGCGCAGGAGGCAGGTGCACTATCCACTACGCCATTCGGGTTAGCAAACGAAACCAATGGCATAACAATTGCCTCAACCAACCGATTGCTTGTCACTGTCGAACCCGTAATATATTAATAGTTCAGATAAAGAAGTAGCAATCAGCCGTTTAGCTTAGTGCTCAAAGCGTCTGGACGTGAATCTGGAAGACGTGGGTTCGATTCCAAAAAACATGTCCTCCTTTTTTCTGCAAATTTTCACATTATTCCATTCGGCATTCTTCTAACGCGATTTTGTTTTTGCATTTATAAAAATGATTCACTTTGCCTAGACATTTGCACTCGATGACGCAATCGCTAAGTGTTGGCTTCGGCGCCGGGGGTCGTGGGTTCGATTCCCACACGGGACAAGTATTTGTGTAACCCATGGACCAATGTCCAGGATCTGGGTGTTTATTCCCAGGAGGGTCTAACGTCAAGCAGGCAGCTGGTCATAAAACCTAGCATTAACAACATTACAGATGATATATTCTACCAACACCACAGAACAGAATAAAAATACCCACACCACACCCTAAAATTAATTTGATAATTATAAAGTTTTATCATTATTAACAACTTTATGCTGCTTGTTGATATCATATCTCAAAAACGAATATGTACACCGACAAAATGAGATTAGTTTTATGACCTGTAAGTATCAAAGTCAAAATTTCTTTATTCATTATAGCCTTAATTTAAGCTCTTATTGAACGTCAAAAAAATCTACCACCGGTACACTAAACTAGAACTGACCAGACAAGAACTGGCAAGAAACTGCGATCTTTTTTTTAATTGAATTTAGCTTTAACTATATCCTGTTTTTTTGGGTTTTTTATGTGAATAATTGCCAAGCAAGCTGGCGGCTCAACTGATTTTAAGTGATTACCGCCGCCCATGGACAACTACATCACTCAGGTGTCCCTCCGGGGCTTGCAGATGTGGTAACAACCTTTAAAATAAGTGGACTCCGGTTACCTCACTCACCAGACGAAACACAAAAGAACTAATTTCCCGCTTCAAACCAGTCCTCTGTGAGTCCGTGGTACTTCCCCGGACAAGCCTGTCCATTCGTGCAACATCGGAAACTGCTGAGTGGCCCTACCACAGAAGTGTCTTTTTGCAAATTTCCAAAAAAAACGTGAATGTCATAAAGTATAGAAATAATGTTCTTTTTTCACACATCACACACCACTTACTAAAATTGCAAATATGGTTTGTTAAATAGGTTTATAGATTTTTAGGTTTGTTAAATAGGTTTTTAGTGTATATCTAGAATTCAATACATTTTAATAAATCACATAATTTAGGAACAAAACTTTTTTTTTAATTCTGACACAGATAAAAATTTTCTAGCAAGTTACAAGGGAATATTGTTATGAAAAGAAAACATAACTAGAGCATAGAAGAAAATATGATCACAGCCGTAGAAATGTTACAGTACTGGCTCTACCGCAATGTGCCATAGCTATTGCTTTTGGTACTAAGGGTTTTGACAGCATGACTGAGCGCCACATGCTCTCCAATCACCATACACAAATTGTTTTCGCCTATTTCATTCACAGCCATTCTGTATTTGCTGAAACTTGTATTGAGTACAGGAGTGGGTGTGATTGTAACAAGAATAAATGGTACAAATACAGACCATTAAAAATTTATGTTAAACGATAAAAACCTTTAAGAACTCTTGTTAACTTTTCAGATTCAGTGCCATTGTCTTTCATCGTGTAAACAAAAACCATGATGTATTAAATGTACCTATCAGACATTAAAGCCAAAATTCAAGAGCATTGTTTATTAATATTCCTCCTAAATTATAACAGCCTCTTTTTTTTCTAATGCAATGCATCTCATAATTAATCTCTCTTGTTTTCATTTGTGTTATGATTTGTTATAGATTCAATTTATTAATATATTTTTTAATTGCAATATCAACTCGGACCTTTACCATTTTCTGAATTGAAGTATTGAATAACCACAAATGACTCTTTATAAAAATCTTTACAAAATTCAAATCTCAATCACCTTAAAACTATACATCTATGTTTCGATGGTGACCATATTTATACAATTTATAAAAGTATTGATTACAAAAGTACTTAAAACAAAAAATTTTTTTAATGTTGTGGTAGCCATGCAAATGGTTATGGAATAGTTGTTAAGAAAACATAATGATTTGAGGTCAACTTGTTTTCAATATGGCATGACAATAACAATATAAGCAATCCTAAGTAAATGAGTCACTTTAAAGTATGTAATTTGATAAAGCTCTATATCTTCATCGCAATATTATGCGAAGGGCTAAACGGAAATAAATGACAAGTGATATTAATAAAAAAGTAACACACAGACATAAGATTTAGGTTATTTCAAAATTGTTACCTCCAGACGCGATGTAGAAACCACTCGGTGAATATTTCGCGACGTTAACTTGGCACGAATGTTCTGTGTATACGTCGGATATGGCCGGATTCTCAATATCACGTATTATAACTGAATTTCCGTTTGTGTAAAGGAAATTTTTCCCTTTAGGGTCTCCACCCAAAACGAGCGGTGTACCACGCTGCGTCCTCGGCAAGGCCGCGAAAGTATACTCTGCAAGTACCGAGACACAAAATCAGTTTTCGAACAATCAAATTCAGAAATTCGTTGCACTCATAACACCATGCTAGCGGCAGTAAAGAAAACACACGTATTATTACTCACTGTTCGAATATGACATTATAACTTAACAGTTGAACAAATTATAACTACTCTGCCTTAGCTTATCTAAATTTATATCAGTACTATAATTATTTAAGTAGAAAAACAAAATCAGCCGCTAATACTCCATAGCCTCCCAAAAATGACGTGACGTAGAGAAGATAAGGATTAGTGTTGTAGCATGAAGCTTTGGAATCGATGTTCTTTAAGGAAAGGATTAAAAAAATTCATCGAAGACATTGTAAAATAATTTAAAAACCACATGTTGTTACAATTTTAAACATTATTAACATTGATTACATACACCAACCTCCCAAGTTACATGTGGTTGAACTATTTATTTTTGCTACGTTTTTAGATAGCTTTATTTATACTATTTTCGTTCATAGTATAATCGTACACAGGACGCGGAATGGCGGGTCGTGGTTGTCCACGTCCAGGTTATAATTCACACTCGACAGGGAAACGGAGAGCAAGGGCTTCCCCTTTGCCTTGCTAAGCTAATAATATCTTCGGCGTCGGAGCTCGTGGGTTTGATTCACCCAAGACAACTATTTGTGTGATCTACAGATGACTGTTGCGGATCTGGGTATTTGTTTCCCAAGGACGGTTGACGTCAGGCAGACGTTTGGTCGAAAAAACATAGCCAAAACCACTTACAACATTACCGACCTTACCTACGTGGGCCTTACCCAGATTAACCAAATGTCTCTATTTGAATACTTTAAATTGTCATAACTACATGCGGAAATTGGTAAAGAGCTGGTTGCATGAAAGACGAGTCGGAGTTTATGTAAATTAAATTAAACCTTAAAAATTAAATTATGTAAACTAAACCTAGATAATATTTACAATAGTTAAAACCATATGATAAATACATCACTAGTAAATCCCAATTTTTAAGTTCATGATGTTGGTACATTGTAACCATATGAAATGACCATATATGGAGATAACTTACGCTACGAATAGCTTTATTTTTTTAACTTCGATACAATAGATATTTCATTTTTATAATTAACATATTATTCGCATTCAATTAAATGGTACTTATAATATGAAATATTTCACTTTTTGTAAAAGTGTCATAGAGTATCATAAACATAAATATCTTACATTTTTTACCATTGGGTAAAGTAAGATGTGCTATTCGTAAATGAAATATTCATTAATTAATATAATGTATTCGTTTAGTTTATTTAGGTGTTAGCATGTAAGTTAATTAAAGAAAATTAACAATTGTTCAAAGTAATGACAAATACTTTTAGCCTCAAATTTGTTTAGAAAAGATCACTCTTTGACGTTAACACCCCCTTATTGTTTCTACCTCATTATGTTTTTCTTTTTGTTTTTGTGGTGGTTAATGAAGCATATATATAATAATATCGTGAAGTAGGTCGATTTGGATCTAACTTTTTAAAGTCTCTTTTTGGCTGTCGGTGTGCGAACGAATAGTATAAATTTAAATCTCATAATTTTTTCCCAACGTAAAAAAAGTAATAAGTAAATAAAAATCACTTTATTGCCTGTTTTATACCTTATAACTAAACATGCATTCTTAAACAGAAAGTATACAATACAATGAAGGCAAAAGGAGGCAGGTCAGCTTGTGCCGAACGGGACAGCAGTTGCGAGCTGGTTTTCAGCCTCTCCCCACTTCCTGAGGTGTTTTTCGGAAGTTTTAATTCTGGCCTACCAAGCAAAAAACTACTTTAAAAAGTATGTAAGATCAATGAAATTAATCAAAAATCTTTATTCAAATAGACGATTGCGCGTTCTTATGAATCGTCAAATTCTACATAAAATATTATACATAGAGGTTCGTAAGGTACTACGATTTTAAGATTTATATAAAAAAAAAGGAAAACAGTAACAATTTTAATAGTTGAGTACATTATAGAATTGTCATAAGTTTCCAATGATACCGTCTTTGATTATATACTTGTCCAAAGGACACCGTGTAATATTTTTTCATCATCATTTATTTATGGTGGGACAATAATTGCTTTACATGATTTTCACATGTTATCGCCAATGACACAATAATGGTAAAGAAACAAATGGTTTTAAATATATAATAGAAATATATAAATTCAAATATATAATAAAATAATACAAAAAGGGGAAGACATTAAAAAGGGAAATTGCGGGAAATCATGGGTAAAACCTAGTTAAAATATTGTGGTAAATTTCGGAACTATTTTTTTATGGACTCTACCGTGGACTAGCGTGTTGCCGTATAAAAGAAACAACGTAAAATTGTTTTCCTCTGAATCTGGGATTCAAAGCCGATTTTTTTTTTCTTAATGAAAATAGAATTATCAAGCTTTATTTTAAGCTAACATTTATCGAGACACAAAAATATTTGTAAGTGGCCCAAGCTCCATACTGTGTTGGTCATTCTCCTTATGTCGATGATTTTGTTGACGCATTTAGTGTAAATAATATTATCATTGTATAGTATCATCAGACGCGTGGGCAGGCTATAGAAGAAAATCGATAAAGACCAGTTAGTTACTACACTAGGGCCAAAAGTAAAAACTACAGCAGAAAAATTTTTGAGGGGAAAAAAGCCCCGAGAAGGGGAAATTTGAATTACGGCGTGGGGAAAGGAAATCATTAAAGTGGAAACACTGATCAGCATATATGTGTATAGTCTATGGTATTACTTATTGTTAATTGTTAATTATTAATATTCTGTGCCTTTTACAGAGTAGTCAGTCAGAGTTTTTTTTAGTTTTTTTTATTCGTTCTCGTTTCTCGCCGTCTCGCGTACGCAGTGAGTGACAGTAACAAAATGCTGCGGGAGTTGCATCATGTTACAGAACTTTATCATTCAATGCGTTATTTCTCGACCAATTTAATGACTGATTAGTATGAAACAAGTGAATAAAGCACATGATATAACGATTGTACTTACTTGCTGGAATTGTGATGCTGCTCAGCGTTTTTTTTTTTTGACATTTGTTTCCACGTGGTGACTGTCATTTGAAAAGTCTACGTGTTAATTCTAGCACATTTTTAGTATTTTTATACCCGTACGCAAGTTTAATGAGCAATGGAGTCCTTGAACATGTCGAAGCTTAACTTATCGAGTGTCAGGAGCCACACCTCTAACGATACTGTGATAAAACCTGAGATTTCCGAGGTGAAACTGGAAACAAATGTAAGTGCAACATATTTCATAAAAATATTTATCGAATGCGTAGTTTTCTGATAATTTATATATGGTTTTCACGTTTAATAGCATGAACAAATACGTTTATATATATATTTAGGGGAATTTAATCAAATTATATGAAATAGTTTCATACAATGGAATTTATGAAACTACTACACTCGATAACGAAAATACTAGTTCGGATTTTTAAAATTGTTTGTTATATCGCTTTAAGCAATCATAAAATCAGTGAATTGAAGTAATTATGTTAAGTATGTTAATTTAACCACAATTTTTTTAAACAGCTGCTTACGGATCCTGATGATGAGTACCATTGCGAATATAAGGAAGATATCTGGAAAAATTTGTTGGAACAAGAGTCCCAGAAGCCGATTATTCATTTACAATCCCCACAAGTAAGTTGCCTTTTAATATTTAAATATATAAAACAAATGTTTGCCTGGTTAAAAATATCTGCTTTAGTAAAACATAGTTAGCATCCTGTCGTTGCTATAATTTGTATTAACTTTCAGAGATATTAACAAATTTTTCTCTTTAAAATTTGTAGCTATCCTCAACTTATATCATGTAACTTCATTTTCAAATTGTTGCAAATAAGTTGGTAGAAGGTAAAAAGTTTAAATTATTGAGGTACTCTATCAAGTCATCACACAACACACGATTAAATGTATCATACTTACTAAGCAAAATGATACATATTTAAATCCAAACCGGTTGTGGATATAAAATTAAAATAAACTTAAAACAATTCTAAATTGAATAAAGAAATCTTAATATACTTTTTTTTTAAAGTTGTTCCCAATGTAATTTATATAATGACCCTTTTTATATATTATTAGTTTTGAAATAAATACTAATGTATCATACATTATATATATATATATATATATATAATAGTAGTGGTGTCACATCTTGTATGTGTGCTTATTAAGGTTAGGAATTTTTTTTTCTAAATATATGAAACACATAGAAAATATTTCGAGCACACATGTGACCTTGTTTTTTTAATTTTATTATGAATGTTGTTATGTTATATGCCACTTTCATTGTGGTTATATTTTGTGACTTAGTCGCACTGAAGTGATAGTTACACAGCTTGCATGTAGTTGCCTATTTCAATGCTATGTATAAAAATACACTTCCTTATTTGTCAGAAAACTGTAGATCTGTGGTTAGTAACATGACCAATACAATAGATAGACTTTGATATAAAATATGGAACTCTTATTCAATAAGTTTAAGCAGGCTTGTCCGGGAAAAAGTATCACTGCATCACAGAAGACCAATGTGAAATATAAAAATTAGTACTTCAATGGATGATGAATTTTTTGCTGACAAAAGAAGGAACTTGAAAAAACAACGGAAAAAATAAAAGAAAAGAATAAAACATTGGGCCTTGAAATGGGGTCTTCTGGTTTCGGGACTGCCTGATTTCCCACCTGGGCTAATATAACCGTTTAGATGGTGGCGAAATGTACCATTGTATTTTAATGATATTGTAACAGTTTTTCATTGCTAGAAAACACAGATAAAATGATGTTTTCTAAAAATGAACCAGCTTGATTGATTTATCAACCCCCAAACACCCAACAATAAAATCCGCATAAATTCTTTTCTTAATGGCGCAAGTTGTGTGATGGTGAAAACTATCAATTTGATTTTGCCCTTTACCTGCTTTTCCAGTAAATAATGTTTTTTTTGTATTATGGGTATATCAATACAGTTTGGAACACAGAAAAATTATAACATGTTTAATGGTACATAGATTGTGTTGATAATATTTTGCCAATTGCTATTTCAACTGTAACATATACTTGTGACACAGTTAAAATAATATTTATTTATTATAAATACTACAAAGAAGAACTTATTAAAACCAATGATCATATTCTACCTCAAATAAAAGTCATAATATTTCTTTGAGTTGCATCATATCCCTAAACCAGCAAGTTGATGCAATTATTATGCAACTTGCTACAATGTTGAAAGGTTTATTTAATAAAATCATTATTGAATAATGGTAGTAGTACATGTATTCCAAAATAAATAAGAATATATTAATATTATATACCAATGTAAATAGTACATGTTTTGAAACATCGTTGAATTGAATAAAAATAAGGAATATGAAATTTTTATAGTATATACACAAATACTTGACACAAGTGAAAAAATGTAATGAATAATGTAAACCAATAAACAAAAAAATGCATGGAAGTAAACTAATAATTATGTTCTAGCTCCTAGAAAAGTATAATATTTCTTTAGGTTGCAGCATATCCCTAAACCAAATTGGTTTGTAAATTGTGCAATTGTTATGCAACTTGCTACAATACCCAAATGCGTAATATAAATTGAAATATAATGTTTATGATTTTATCTGACAAGTCACAGTGATAGCTAAAATTGAAAAAAAACCTTAAACTGGAATAATTATTTTTAGGTTTTATCACGTTACACTACGTACGAAGGCGTAACATTCAGACAGAAAAACATACATAAAAATACAAAAACATATAAATTATAATATATATAAATTAAAGCCTAAGTGTTATTCTCATGTATAAGCTATATTGTAAAGTTACATTAAAATCCATTCAGTTGTGTTTAAGAGTAACAAAACATCCATCCATACATACAAACTTTCGCCTTTATATTATTAGTAAGGATTATTTATTAATAATTTAATTGTTACAGTTGGAGTTCCGTGGTGCGCTGGTCCAGCAGTTGCGCGACGTGACCAAGAAACTGGGGCTCACATTAGCCACGCTACATTCGGCCGTGGCACAGCTAGACCTGTTCATGGATGCCCACAGACTGAGGTCGGATCGTCTGACGCACGTTGCCCTGGCTTGCCTTAGTTTAGCAGGTGTGTGGGATTTTGGTACTAATGATCTATTTTTTTTTTTACAAGTTAACTATTTTTATTTATCTAAAATTACATATTATCTAATAAACCTAATCCACGCGGCATGTTGCCAAGAATGCTATTTAATGCAACTAGCGTTATTCCTCACTGAATAGTTATGCTTAACCTTTGAGCGAGAAAAGAACCAGCTGTAATGATCTATTGTAGTCAAAGTGAAAATTTCTTTTCAACACAGGTTTATTTTAAGCTCTTATTGAACTTCAAAAACTACCGGTTCACTAAACTAGACATGCCAGAGAAGAACGGTCAAGACACTCTGTGGTCTTATATTCTTTTTCTTTAAATTATTTAAGTATATACACAAAAGTCTCCATTCTATAACTTTATCCTTTGCTGTAAGGAGGTTTTTGTATACATACAATTTTCATGTGAACATACACCCAGATACGAAACATTTATCTGTGGGTCACACAAATGATGTCTCGAGTGGGAATCAAACCCAATATCTCCTGTGCCGTAGCCAATGGTTTAGCATCTACCTACTGAGTCATCATCAATCAAACTACCAATGCGAACATCCGGTTGGGTAATCAGTCTCTTGGTTTTCTACAGGTCACATTTTTAAGTATCCATCGGAATTACACGAATTAATTCCACGGCACACTACTATTATTTCGTTGTTGACATCAATTTTAATTTTTTTAATGACAGCTAAGAGTGAAGAGAAGTTCAGTCGAGCACCTACACTGAAAACTCTCTCCAAGATCAGCGGTGTCCAGCTCTGCGGGAAGACCTTTAGACAGTTAGAGTGGATGGTGGGCCAGCACGTTAGATGGAGGCTGTTGGCGCCAACGCCAGTGACCTTTGCAGCGCTTCTAGCGCAGTACGTTATCACAGACGGCGACCTGACCACTAGACACCCAAAGTTTGTGAGGCGCTTCAAGCGAGATGGTGCCAAGCTCCTGGAAGCATATTTGGACTTGACCCTGTCTGGTGAGATTTCAATTTTTGTTTGAATTGCTTTGAAGCGTTTTTGTCAATTTTATTAGTAAAGTAAACAGTCTATGCGGCCCACTGCTGGGCTAAGGCTGGCCACAAAGGCCTTCCGTACGGAGGGTATTAGAGCATTGTCACTCCATTTTCGGCGGATTTGTAGGCTTCACATAACTCATAAATATTTTTTTTATTCTTATTTCGAAAAGGGGCGTATTTTCTCATAATGTCTTCATTCACTGATGAACATGTGTTAGATTAGATTCATAATTGCAGTTTCATTAATGCCGGCCGATAGGTCTCCTACATTATTTTATATGGTGACATAAACTAAGTATGTTTAAGTATGTTTTGTAAGTTTACTTAGGTGTTCCTAAAAATGTTTAAAATACTCGACAGCCATGTTTAACATTATAAAATTATTCACTGCCACAAACCAATGTGCACATGCAATTTTCAAATAGCATGCACATGTTAATAAAAATTAAAAACGAATAACTAATGTATGCAAAACGTGTTAACAACATGGTAAGCATTCTTCAATTTTTTTTTTATTTCTATACCTTTCCATATTTTTTATACAGACTATGACAGAATCAGCTGAAACATAGTTAACCATTGCCTACAGAAAATAATTTTGTATTTTTTGTATCCAAACACTTCTGACAATGCATTGCTAATTAGTTGCAATCTATTCCAGATGTTCGTCTGAAAGTTGTGGAGTCCGTGGACGTTGGCTGTGCTTGTGTGGCCTGCGCTCGTGCTGATCTTGGCTTGTGCGCTTGGCCCAGCTGGTTGGCAGCGGTGTCAGGGAGGAAACCCACCAGTGTAGCCCCAATCGCTCGTCTGCTGCAGAGGTAAGAATGGAAAAATTTTTGCCCATTCAAATTTAATGAACAGATAGTTAATTTAATGCTTAATATTTATTGGCTTGTAAGGAGCATTAAACTATAATATATACTATGAAAATTCCAATGGAAAATGTACCATTGTATGGATAATACCTGACAGACAAAGTTTCTTATTTCTTCTCAAGTCTCTCCTACTTGATTAAATGAAATAGAACCGGTTTATGCAAAAGAGATTTAGCGGAATGTTTTGCGTAATTTATATGCACTACTATAAATACTTTACATTGCTTTATTGTACTTGTTAGGTTTCTTTTTTATTAAACGAGCTTCGTTCATGCAATGATGACCAAAAGGCCGAAAAGACACTCCCAGAGAGTCGTGAAAGTAGAAATCCCTTGCCGGTCGATTTCCTTTCCCGTGGTTTCAACAAAGAAGCGAAAATCTGACACCGCCCGCGCATTCATTTGCACTCGTTTTGAACTTTGACACATTCAAACGGCCACAATAATTGTTCCAGGATGATGCAGATACTCAAGTCGCGCGATGGCAACACCGACTCCGAGGTCGATCAAGGCTACGGCAGCGCTAGGACCTCGCCGAATCTCACTCCGTGCAACTCCCCACGGTACCAACGCACCTTTAGAATTATAGTGGCCTATTTAGAAAATTAAACGGAGGGACAACCCGTGCAAGCGTGCGGGAAGTCGATGGATGCACGTGGCTCAGGATCGTGCTTGTGGCAGTCTGTGGTGGACGCCTATGTTCAGCAGGATACTCGAAATGGTGATGATGATGATGATGATTTAGAAAAATTAAATATTGGAGGAAATAAGAAAGATTTGTGTACTTATGAACAAACGCGGCGATTGGAGGGGAGAGAAAGAGAGCGAAGCATACGTTATATAAATGTAAAATATCAGCCTATACATGTCCCACTGCTGGACAAAGGCCTCCTCTGTACAGAGGGTATCAGGGCATAGTCCACCACGCGCCCCCACTGCGGATTGGCGGACTTCACATGTCGTCGAAATATTTTTTTTTCTTATTTCGAAAATATGCAGGTTTCCTCACGACGTTTTCCTTCACCGCTGAGCACGTGATAATTTACGTTATTGGCACTTAAAATTTACGTTACACAGCTGTATAAAACGGCCCTTGTGCCCAATGAGAGTCAAAAAAATTGGTCGTTTCAGGCAGTTCCCGACATGAAGTCAGAATCGCGATTTCCTCAATTAGGTCGCTTTCATTCTAAAGGTACCAAGTGTCGCCGGCTTCAAGCAGTTGCAGCACTTCAAGCTACCTGGACGCGTACAGGCAGCGGCCAATAGCCGACAGGCGGTTGGAGGACGCCTACTCTGTGCTGGACCTCTCGGAGACAGGACCAGCGACAGTTGACGTCCAGGACTACTACAGGCTACCATCGGCTGTGGACGTGGCCTGCCAGCGAGTGAATAACCCAGCGGATTACAGGTTCGCAAACAAAATAGTTCGGTTCATCAGAGCCTAAACAAAGTGAACGGTTTCTGGAAAATGATGTATGTTTTAGTAGTTTCAGGATGGTACGAATGATGCACTGACTGGGAGGATGTGCAAAGTTAATGGTTTTGCTGTGACCTTTAGTTTGTTGTGTTGCGGTTGTATAAGAACTTTACAATTACCACTACTTTCCTTTGATTTGTTGTACAATATCCTATAATTATCTTTTCATTTTTAAACTTCGAGTAGGTTACATGTTATATGTAACAGTACATTTACAATAGTTACATAATATATTATGCAATAGTCATTGTATTTTCATAATTGAGAAATAGAGGCAGCTATGATAAAGCAGGCGTTTCAAAGGGAAGGAGCGCCTAAGTATAGTTATTTCTACTTTACTCCTATCTTTTTGGAAAAGTGCAAGTTCTCAATACATCAATAGCAGAAGCTCTTGAGTAGCTCTACTATAATAAAATACATTGAGTTCAAACAGAAAATAAAGCATACTTTTCTGTTGAGTATTTGATCTTCAGGTAACTTCTTATGGCAACACTGTTTACTATAGTCATGTAGCCCGCGAGTAAGTGATAGAAAAGATATATACTGCTGCCAAAAAACTAACATATCCGTAGCTCACTTGATTTCTAACTATGATAAAACTTCTAGATATGGTTAATTTCTCTTTATTAAATATGTCAGTTTCGTCTTCGAAACAAGTGAGTGATTGAAATGGGCGCTCTTTTTAACCCAGTAGCTCAGAGGGAGATAAAAAAAACAGCAATTTAATGTGTTCGTGGGAAATTCAGCAATAAACAATACACACAATCCACAATTGTTCACAACAAAGAAATTTAAATTCTATTGGCCATTTTTATAAATATTCAAAATATTATGATGCTTATTTTTTTTTTTTTTTTTTTTTTTTTTCAAATCTTATTGAACTTGTTTTTGGCAATGATGGATACAATTTCACTTTGTTAGTTACCTGTTCAGTTGTCAAAAATTCTAATTTGTGAGCTGCTGATATAAAAGATTGATATATATCACCAGGTATTGCCGGTCCGCAAGGTTGGTGGAAGCGAGCCTGGACTCTGTGCACTATCCACCATCCAGTGTTGCACTGAAACGTGGACCCGACACCAACGTTGAGATGGAGAGGAAACGCTACCGTCTGGCATCGCAGATGTCTCAGGTAGTCCTCTGACTCTACGGCTAACCTCTAGTCTCCGAGCCGGCGTTCGCACATTCAAATGTTCCTATTTATAGTCGGATGATTTTCAAAGATAAAATAGTCTACCATCGGAACAGATTTCCCGTGTCTGTTTATATTAACGTCATATATTATACACAACGTAAATAGGCGTTCACTCGATAATATTGATGAGGATTTTGCTATTTGCACTTATTTGCTCTCTTTTTTAGTCAAAAAGTTTGTTATATCAAGTAAAACTCAGTATGCTTCAGTCTTTCTAAAAACTAATTGTAGTTGGTTTATTTATGTTTTTGAAACATTGTTTTAAATGAGAGATCTGTTCCTTAGGTAGATGCTGCATGTGCAAAAAAAAAGTTGCAATAAAAACATGTTCAAAGCCATATTGAGCCATTTTAGCAATATTGCTCAAGGATTATTCAAGCTAAACATTGTATTGTTAATACTTTAAAATGTATTCATTCTTAAAATAATGAATGCTTTTGAGATAAAGTTTTATTTTAGACAAAAGTATTAACAATGATACCGTATTAGGGTAAATTGCCTTATTCCAAAATATGCCGAATAAAAAAATGTTATTGCGTAATAATTATTATTATAATCGGTAGTGTGTTAATTAAGAAAATGTGAAGGGGGAATGGTGTTGCCAGTAGTGAAAAGTATTACGAATTGTTAAATGTAAGTGCAGCATCATTCCCTCGATGGGATGATATTACAGTTTTAATAGCAATAAAAGGAAAACACCTTATATTTGTAGGTGTTTCCAAAAATTAAATATATCATAACGGCTTGGCCTTAATAAATGACTGATTGGAAATACATTATTTGTTGTAATATCATTCATACTATCAAAATGTTAAATTTTAGGCGTTAGTAACAAATTTTTAAACAATTTCACCACATCCCTCATGACCAATCGGTGTAGTAGTTTTAATTAGCTTTGCCAAATCAATGTTTACTCTATAAAAAAATATTTGTTTAAGAATATAATTATAAACAGTTAATGTCATATGGAATGATTCATGGAGCAGCTCTTATTAATAGGTAAGATATAGGAAAACAAAAAAGATATAACCCAAGTGCCTAGACAATCAAAAAAAATTATTTAATAAGCGCTTTAACAAAATTATTTCATCGACCAATAGATTTTATTCAGCCGTTGAAAGTCTTTAGTAGTAAACTGATTGCTTGAAAATAATTAAATTAGATATTGAGACATATTTAGCTGTCCTCTGAGGGTGTATGTGTGTGAACTTGTTTATTGAATAGCATAGAAGCATCGTTATAAACGAACATCCACACAACATGGCTGTGTTAGTAGATTTTGTAATCGTGTTTCGTCGACGCACTTCCAAATGTTGTGTCGGTGTCTACCCCAACATTGTAATATAGCGTATGTATAGCCAAAGCAATAATTTTTTATTTAAATTTTCGATTATCTGGCATAGTTATTGTTTCGAAAGGAATATAAAGGTGACACCTATTTCTGTTTAGATTAATAGAACATGCACTACAACACTGGATTTGAAGTTTAATCGTAGAAAAAAAAATTAAATCTTCGTCATCTGTACCATAATAATGCATATAATGTTCAAACCTTTGTTTTTGTTTCTTTTCGATAATGGTAATAATATTTTACCTTCAAACTGTAATAGACCAGTCATATTCTTTTTTCGTTATTTATTATTTGACTTAGTCTATTTATTTTGTACCTATAAAATGTTATTTTTCTATTACTTTTTTTTTACAGTGAAAGATATTCGATGTGTGATTGTTTCTTTGCTATGTTTCAATTAAAACATCACCTTCGCACTATAAATTGTTGTATATATTGAATTAACTATCCGAAATGGCAACACGAATAGAACAAATTCAACTTTGTATCATTGAATATACTACATTCTTGCGTCGCTGTTTTGGATGAGTTGAGTGGTTGTGATCGATGAAAGATGTTCGATGTTTTTAATTTATTATTTTTTTTTAAATAGTTAAAAGAAACTTTAGAGTAATGTGTATGTATATTTTAGCGGAATTGTGAAACGGAACGGAATCTTGGTTGTTTTCGCGGGAATTTGGAAAGGTTCCATTCCGTTGTCTCGTCATATGCGGCCCACCACCCCCTTTCTAGTGTATTCAAAACGGGTCTCGGGGGGGAATAATGGCGTGCGCCTGCGTGCTGTCATATCGTTTAAATAGACTCATTTGTTTTATTTTTTTATTACTTCTTTTTTCAAGTGGCTTCGTACTTCGGAGCTTCCCGTTTCTATGTGAAAGTTACCATTTTTTTTTTCTTTTTTTTTCGTGTCTCGCCATTTCCCACGATGTCGATCGGCGAGGTCGATGACCGACGCGTCCGCTATTTTATTCAAAATGGCGGCCGTCACGGAATACGGATAGGAGTGTGGCAGTATGTTAGAGCGAGACAACACTTCTTGTGCGGGCGAAGCTTCTGTTATTGCTGCATTTATTGTTTTTCGATATCGCGCGATTATTTTTTTTCGTTTTTGACCTTTTCAACGAATAGGCATTTATTTGTTCGTGTTTTAACTTATGTCGTTATCCAACATCTGTTGCAGGCTCGTGTGTGTGTGCTCGTGCTTGCTGTTTTTTTTTTTTTTTTTAAGATTTACATTAAATACTTTCTTTTTACTTAACGGACGGACGTGTAAAATTTGTCTATAGAGTTTACATTAATAATGATGCCTTGTAATTTTTTTTGTTTGACTAATTAGTTTGTTCATCTCTGCTCCCTTGGTTAAACCTGTTAATATGTTCCTTTTAATTTTTGAATTGTTAGTAATTTTTTTTTTTCATAGGTTCAATTTCAATTCATTCAATTCATTAAAAAAAAAAGTTATTCCAGTTTTAAGTTATCACTTCTTTCAGCCGTCCTCCATGACTGATTTTTTTGTTTGTATCTATATAAGTGTGATGTCTGAATGGTTGGGTCACCTCTCTATCTAAAAATTCGCTATCCCTAATTTCGATACCAAGTTTCTAATGACAATTATATCGTCCGCAATACACACGAGCTTGCACTCATTTAATTTAAACAAAAATTTTAAATACAACAGCGCAGTGTGATATGACACATCGCTAGTGCTTCCGTGATAAATTTTGAATTATTTGTAATCACAATATACCGTATATTATCGAATGTTTTATAGTAATACTGCCATTGCTATAGTTTTAGTGTTATTGGTGAGGGGTCGAAGTCAAATTTAAACTCTGAAGCGTTCGTCGACTGCCATCTTTGTCCCGAGTAAACGAAACGATAATATTGAAAAATTTTTTGTCTGATAGTTCCGTTTTGTCGATGGGTGGGATATAAAAAAATAATAGCTCCAAGACTGACAAGTTGCACGGATACGAATGTTATTGGACTGAAACCAGAACCATAATTTTGTACTCTAAAAGATATAAAGACGCATTATAAACCTTGAAATAAAACTATTTACTTTTTCTTTGTGTTTTTATTTACCATAATCGAATTCCTGTAGTTTTTCTTGGATTTTTGATAATTTATCTATTGTTGGGGTGCCTTTGGTTTTCAAAAGATACGGGTTTTTTTTTTGTAACAATGTAGAATAATTACCATCGATAGCGATGGGACTTTTTAGCCCGTTGACAAAGACAGTTGTCTTTAAAGAAAAGTCCTATGGGGTATGTCGCCATTCCCTCTAGGACTTGAATACACAAAAACACCGACATAAATTTTAAATACATACACACATAGTTTTGCACCTGAGAGGTTACAAACCTTTCTATAATAGTATTTTTTGACACATTTCAAACAACATTTTAAGTCCCAAACTAAGCAACTCTTGTACTATGGGTACTAGATAAGGATATCGAAAGCGAAGAAATATATCGATATTTTCTATTTGATATATCGATATTTTTCCCCACATCCGTAGTATTAGATAACTGATGAACGTACTCAAGCATACTTATCTTTTGTTAATAAATATATAAAAATCAAGATACTGGAAAAAATTCATCACAGAATATTTTTCCAGTAGTCTAACCCACAGGCTCTGAATTGATCAGAATGATCTTCTTAATGATCAATTCAAAGGCAAATTTTGGCAACTCCAATAACATTTGAAAAGTGTTTCGGAAAAAGTGAAACAACCTCTAGCTTTCTCAAGTACATAAGCACTTTATTTTCAATCACTTTCTTTCCTACGAGCACTGTGATACTAATACATCACGTAAACAAGGTACACTCGGGTCCCAAGGAGGTTCCAAATACTCGACCCTGGTTATCATGAGCTCAGAGCCCCAATGAAGCTTTATACAGTCTACGAATTGAAAGCACAAACATCTATCATGACAAAGACCCTCTTCTTTTCTAGACAATACTTTCAAATCACTGAAATATTTCTGAAATACTTTCAATAAAAAAATCGTGTAACAGCGTTGGATAATAAAATATTTCAGTAACCGATTAAACTTTAGAGCTTAGTGGTTTTTCTTGCGCAAAACAGCAGCAATAAAAAAAAAAAAGAAAGTAAAAAAGAGGCTTAGTTGACACAAATGACCAGGCATTAATTAGTTGATACAAATGTGTTTATTCCGGTTCTGAATTCAATTTATACAGTTGGGGATTTTACCATTTGTCGGTAATAAATTACAAAAATAAAACGGTTAATATGCTTCTGCATATTGTAATATCATCGCGTGTTATAAACGTTAATGAGAAACAGTAACCTTTCACATAACAAATCGGACAAACTAATATCCATTGCCAAACCCCATCGGGATCGAACCTACGGCCCCAATAGATTTGAGGACAGTAGGACGTTCCAGCTACAAGGCAATAGCTAGTTAAGGACGTTGTTGCGTGATTGTACTATTTGTGGTAGGGTCACGCAGCAGTCTCGTTTGTTGCATGATGGGAAGTATAATAAATACTTAAGAATACGTATTCAACTTTCGGGTTCCGTCTGGTGAGTGAGGTAGCCGGAGCCCAATTTTCAAAAGGTTATCATCGCATCTGCAACCCTCGGGTGTAGCAGATGTCCATGGGCGGCGGTATTTACTTAACATCAGGTGAACCGCCTACTCGCTTGGCAACTTTTCACATAAAAAAGAACAATAGAATAGGTGCATCTATTTCCTATTATCAGATTGTACATCTATTTCATACTAATAGACATTATATCGTGACCTTAAACTTTAAATTTGTAAAAAGCGATTACGGAACAAAAGTTTGGCCTCAAAGCGAACGAAGGTCACGGCACTTCAAAGAGGGGTTGAGAACAGATATACCTAACCTTGTAATGAAGTACCGTTAGGCAATCATCTACTTTCATGAGTAGCCCTTAAGGTCAAGCCCCACTTTAGTATTGATCCACCACGCTTTCAATAAAAACGTAGGTATTGCAAATATGCTGCGGTTTTTGTTTATTTATTACTGTCTAAAAATATTAATCTGCATATTGTTACCATAGTCGTCTTTGCGGCGATTGGCTAATAAATAAATATAAAATACCTTTATGGTTTCGTCAACTACCTACCCAGATTACCTACCGATTAGACTACACGTGTTAACGCATTTTCAAATTTTTAATTATTTTTAACTTGTTTAAAATAAGTTCGAAACATATAAAAGAAGATAACAGCTCATAAAATTTGTAATTTTGGTTGACGTTCCTCAAATAAAAGCATGTTTTTACTGCTCTCACACTCGTAATTCCTTAGCCTTCTACATTCATGTATATCCTAAGCGAAGATATACACGGATGCGTGATATATTGACAGATTAATGGCCGTGCTCCGTAAAAAGTATGCAATAGATTTTTCGAAACGGTCCTGATTGTCTAAGAATAAGGATTATAGGTAATAGAGTATTGACAAAATTGAATCAAATCACAACAGGAAGTTAGCCCAGTTCTACAACATAATCTATAATTCATGTAAGTATTACGAGTGACTTTCAGAGAAGAATGCAATAAACTTTTTTTTTATGTAAGAAGGTGGCTAGCGAGCTGGCGGCACAACTTATGTTAAGTGAAAACGCCGCCCACGAACATTTGCAACACCCGTAGGGTCGCAGATGCTCCGCCACTTTTTAATAAAGTGGGCTCCAGCTACCATAATCACAAAACGAGAAGAGTCTTCTGTGAGGCCGTGGTACTTACTCGGACGGAACTGCTCATTCGTGCAATAGCTAAGGCTGTTGCATGGCCCTACTACAGAAAACTATTTTCTTTTCTATGGCTTCTTCTATTATCCATATATTATACCAGCTGCCTTGTAACAATTCTTTCCAAAGCTGAGCGGCCACGTAGTACAAAAGCTCGGTAGTCTTCTATCACAGTGTACTTATTCATTATAAGTTATTTCTCTTTTATCCGCAAGACGGAACGCATTGTGTGGCGGGAACAATACAGTTAACTATTGTTCATAGCGTTTTAATAAATTGAAAAAGAAACGAATTGTTCGAGATTGTACGGAACATTAACAAAGTGTTATTGTTATTTATTGTTAGAACTGTGCCTATGCCCTATTTTTATCATGCCATCAATTATCGTTAATTAATTAAATCGAACGTTATAATAATTACATACGGTTCATTTATTACGGCATAGATTTCCTACTTAGAAACCCGTCGGTCATATACAAACTAGGACCAGAGTCTTAATTCGATATGGTCTCGCGTTGCTGAACAAGAGCAGAGATTTTATGAGTGGTTTACATCTGCGACGTACTCAGGTATAAATCTGAGAGGACCGGTGCATTTCGTAGAAGTCTTCCATGACATTGTCACATACATTAAATGCAAACATGTACCTACATTTATTCCCGGAAGAAAATATTTCTTAGCTCTCTTTACTTGCAAAAAACAATATATAATATACACAATGAAATATAAATGTAATATACTTAAGATAAATGTAGACAATATATAAAATCTTATTATTCAACCTGGCTTTCATTTTCAAATGTATTACAATATCACTATACAAATTTTACCATAGGTTTGTCGTAGCATTGCATGTTTGAATGTTATTCTGGTAATTGTAACAAAAATGAAACGAACAATTTTCAGTTTTCACATTAAAAATGTATGCGGGGCTATGACACACTTAACAATATTAATTGGGATGAAGCAAAATGAAACAATCCTGCGTTATATTTACACACATTTATAATTATAATATAATTTACAATGGAATATCTAGTAGTCATATTTGTGCCATTTAGTTAGATAAACACACACAGGAATTGGAAGATTTGTAGCAAAACTAACCTAGTCTGTATACTGACGTCTCATCGGGTGACAGGGTTGGCAGGCGAGGCGGGCGGCGGGGTGGGCGGCGGCGTCTCCTCGGTCTGCATTCACAGTGCAGGGCGCATAGACCTATCCCAGCGCATCCAGACAGGAACAGGGGTAACGCCAGGGTCCTAGTCACGGTTGCAACCTGCTCCCCTCTAGACCAATTCGGCACAACGACGGTTGTGTCCGCTCTGGACCAAAAACACGAGTACCGCGCCCCAACGTAGCCGTAGTGTATCGTGAAGTTGTCGCAGTCGACAGCGGGCGGGTACCCGCAGCCTTTTATATTTACGTACAACACCGCGGGACGCCATTCCTCGCCGTGGGCTTTGTATTTCACGTGGAGTTGGGTGCATTTGTATGCGTCGCTCGTGCAGCCCTCCCTGCAAGACGCCCACGTGCAGTTGTCCAGTCCGAGTCGATCGTCGCGCCTCTCCGTCACACATTCGGCGGGCACTGGGTCAAAGTCGGCCGCAAGAGCGCTCAAGGCTGGGTCCGCGTACAGCGGGACCAGGAAGAGTAGAGCCGAACCCCCGCCACTTAGCAGCGCTGCCAGCATAACAGTAATGTATTTCGTTAATTTTGCACGCGTTTCACCCCTTCTACGAGAAGCGCGCACAACCAATCGTTCAGAGCTTCCGCCTCGCATTTTTAATGTCGCGTCAACCCATCGTGAATGAATGTCGATGTCTAAACTAATTGTTAGTGAATGTGCTAGGCATGCGCTAGTTGTTACGCATGCGTAGTATAAATGGTCGAAAAGGCCGGTAGCTAGTTAGAACAGTCAACAATTCTCTTATACAAACTAGCTGTTATTATAACTATACTTATAATAACAGTAAGTGGTAAGTGGTTGTGAGTTGTGAGCATTATCATAACTTGATATAGTCTGTCTGTTTTTTTCTTTACCTATAGTAAGTAATCGATATTAGCATCGAAATAAGATATCGATATTTTAAAACAATATCGATAATCATCAATTAATATTTTTCGAAGAACTTCAAAACACAAGAGGTGTTTAAAGGCCGATGCCAATGTATGGTTTTACAGTTATGTTCCATTCGATGAGAATTGTGACGAGGTTCCAAACAGGAAAGCTATCGCGATTTTTAAATAATCGATACTAGAAGAGAACAATTATGCAATTTATGTAGCGTTAAACACTTATCCACAGTTTTGTTAAAAATATATCTAAATAGATTTTTTTATATCAAAGTTTTCTAGCGACTAAGTTCACCTGATGTTATGTAAGTTTTGTCGCCCAACCTTTAAAAAACGTATTTCTAGTTAAGTAACCCATTCGTGTAACAACAGAAGCTGTTGCGTGGCCCTACCACAGTAAAAACGAAAAAGATACGACCTCGATAGTTTAAAATAAAAATCGAATTTCGATATATCGCGATACATAATTAATGTTGACCATAATATTCATATCTTATCTTTAAAATGTTTTATTCTATTTCATTATATTTGTTTCAATAGTTTATTCTTCTCTTGTTTCTGTAACCATAGATGATACTTAGAATAAATATGGGAAATCTGTCATCTGTGTGTGACAGTGAACGTAGATAAGATATATATTGACATATATATGACAGTGACTGACTGTGTGTCTGATGGCATAATAAAAGTTTGTTTTTAAACATATTTTCTTACTGAACGCCTGAACGGTGTCGTTTATGCTTCTACTGTGTGTTAAACTACTATAGGTATGTCAGTTAGATTATTAAAATCATTTGTTTGTAACTTGAGACAGTACTTGCCGCGACACCATCTGACTTTAACAGGTACCTAAAACAACTAGCTAAATGCACGTGTTGTCTTTTCGTATTATGCATTCATATTAAAAATTAAAATATTTACATTTTATACATCTTTTCCAAATTTTACACTTATGTAAACATTAACTTGCCTTCATAATTATATCTTCACCATCAAGTCTGCTTCAGAATCATGCTAAACTTTTCATATTATTCGTAAAGGGACTTTTTCGTTTGTTTGGGTCCTGTTTAAGACGAAAAAAACTGTAGTTCAAAAGTTCACAGTACTGCCAACATCAAAAGATAAGACCAGACTTTATTAACCACTTCAGTACATTTTAGGACAACAAATAAGAACAGCTGCAGAAATGGACGTAGCAGCTGAAACGGAAAGCGATGAGAAACTAATCCGTGACAAAAATTTTACTCGGTACAAAAAGCGTTTCATGAAACGCCAATGGGAGGACAGTTCTCAAGATAAGAAAGAAAACGGGGAGTCAGAGGAAAAGAAACTATGCGAAAAGCCGGTGGAGAGGATAAAGAGAAAAAAGATGGCTTTGCTGCTGGGCTACTGCGGAGTGGACTACTATGGCATGCAAAGGTAACACAATAACTTTATATGATTAAAAATTATAAGATTACATATCTGATGGAAAAAAATGTGAAAAGACAGAACCAATAAAAATATCTCACTCACTATACATTTTCCTTTGTATTTTGAGGAGTTTGTTGTTGCATATCGGGATTCCAAGGTACAAATACCAATTATATTAATATGGGACCACAAGGCAATTAAATGAGAAAGAAATTTTATCAAAAAGACAGGAAAATACAATCGAATTGGGAACGTTTATTGAAGTTAGTTGAATGTGAAATATACTTTTTTTTGCTGTGAAAACATCAAAGGTATCGGTAATAAAAATACTATATGTGTATACAAAAGTAAATTATGAAGAATATCTAAATTAAAATAGGAACATCTGTAACCATAATTGAAATGTGACCGAACTTTAACACTAAGCGGTTAAGCTTAGTGCTCAAGCGCATTACTTGGAAGACGTAATCAATTCCTGCGGTGGTGAATTGCATTGCATTTGCAGTCAATCATTTTGAATATTTATTACAAGATATTTTTATTTAGACTTACAATTTTGTACAGATTGTATGCTGTATACATATATAAATTCCTTATGCGTATATGCTACATAATTTAAAAATAGTGAAACGAAGGAATGATATTGGCAGTAATTAGAAATAATAGTAAAATTAACTTTTGTCACTTCATGCATAGGAATCCGGGTGTTAGGACAATTGAGGAGGACTTGCTGAAAGCTTTGTTTGAGGCAAAGTATATAACAGAGGAAGACTTTAACAATCAGCAGAATGCGCAATTTCAGAGGAGTTCAAGAACGGACAAAGGTGTTTCTGCGGCGCGACAAGTGGTGTCACTCAAATTACGTGAGTATCAAAACTGTTGGTTAGATTCAAAAATGATTTAGGTAATTTTTGACAATAAAACGTCCGTTTTAGTACACAAATATATTTAATTAATAGAGAAACAATTGACACAATAAATACGAAGTAAAACTTGGTGCCAACATTTAGATTATAAGAATTTTCCTCTAACAAACCTAATCTATCATTTTGTAACAAATAAATGTTGATCCTAATTTATCTTCATTTATAATTGAATTGAACCTAATTTATAGTTGTAATTGTAAATATTACTTGGGTATTTTTTTGTTATTTCATCTTTTTCAGCATTGGAAGTAAACATAGAAGAAATCAACAGTAGACTACCTGAATGCATAAAAGTGTTTGGTATCAAGAGAGTAACCAATAAGTTTAATTCCAAAATTAAGTGCAATGCAAGGACATATAGTTACACTCTTCCCACCTATGTGTTTGAGCCTAGTTTGAATACTGAAGAAGAGAGAAAGTTGTATAGGATAAGTGAAGAAAAGTTGAAGAGTATTAGTGAAGTCTTAGCTCTTTACAAGGGGACAAAAAATTATCATAACTTTACAGAAAAAAAGTAAGTATTAAACAGCTATTTAATAGGCTGGCCATACACAGTATACATATATTTTTGAATGGGGTAGTGACTAGTCCCCTTCTCATTTGTGCCAGAGCGAGAAAAATGTGACCATGGGGTTTTTTTAGTGCCTTATTTGTTTATAGTATATATTTATTTACATAAGGAAATATTTATTTATTATTACTTTTATACTTTATATGTAAAACAGAGAATTTAAGTGAGAAAAATTATGTTCTCTTTAATTTGTCCGCCATTAGGATTAGACCCCTCAAAATAAGATTTCAATTTGATTTTAAATTATAAATTTTTTATAAACAAAACCTTTTGATGCTGTGGGATTCGAACTATAGACTTCTGGTTTCATGCCAAGACGTTTTATCAACTAGGCTAAGCCAAAGATTTCATGGGGCTAAATTCTTCACATCTATCTATGTTCTTTTCTTTGCATTTTTAGCTATGCTCGGCCAATCGGCCATTGCCATCTAATGTGCATTTTAAAAAAGGTGTGAATCCCAAAGCGCTGGAAATTTTTATTAATTTTTTAAAAATTTTTAAATTTTTTTTAAATTTCATCTTAAGTACAGAGACTATTACTAAAAATAAATATTAGGCCTTACACTGCGATTTGATGTTCGTTTGTTTTAATGTTGTGTCATATATTGCAAAATTATTCTTTTGAGCTCTAAAAACAAAAACAAATATTTACTTGACAGATTAGAGATGAAAAACTAACTATATTTGCAATACTAATTTTAACATGTGAACTTATAGTTATGTTTATAAATGGTCATATTTTATTCATATATGATTAAAATATCAATAAAAAATACATTTATAAAAATTTTAATTCATAATCTTTCATTTTATCAAAATGTTTCAGGCATTACCAAGATCCATCAGCATGTAGATATATGATGAGTTTCAGCTTAGACAGAGTTTTTATTGAATCCGATTGGGAGTTTGCTGAATTATTAGTTAAGGTTAGTTATTTTTAAAATAAGTTTTTGTGGTTCAATTCCCTTTAGTGATAATAATTGTGTAATTCAAGATATGTCTTGATATGGTTTCTGTGATAATTTGTAATAATTCCTGCAATATAAGAATTCTTTTGTAGTCATTATTAAAAAAGAAAAATAAGTTGTAGAGTAATGCACCTCATGGCTATTAGATTCATTAAAAGTTTAATTTTGGGTCTATTCTACTTGCAGGGGCAGAGTTTTATGCTGCATCAAATAAGGAAAATGGTTGGCTTCATGATAGCCATATTGCGAGGTCAAACTGACATAGCCACATTAGAAAAGGCATTTAGCAAAGAAAAAGTTATGATCCCCACTGCACCTGGCTTAGGCTTAGTCCTGGATAAGGTGTGTATTTTTAAATTATGTTCGCTTTGACTGATATTGATAACAAGAATTAAAAAGGGATGAAATTCATCCTAGTTAATTAAGTCAACATTGTTTTCATTACAATTGTTCAATGGGTGTTTGCGATTATGCCATTATTGGAAGCAAAAATAAAACAAAATAACCTTTTAGCAAAATTATTTTATAGCAATATAATTTTATAGCAAAATAGAAAGTAATTTTTTTTTAAAATTTATATCTTTCCTTTGTAATAATTTTGGATATCATTTCAAATATTCGCTTTTAGGTACATTACGAGAGGTACGATGCACGTTACAAAAATAGTCACGACAGTTTGACTTGGGATGCAGAGGAGGAACTAGTACGAAAGTTCAAAGCTGAACAAATCAACCCCACGATTATAAAAGGTGAAATTGAAGGTAACTCTATGGGGTTATGGCTGGAGAAGCTTAGTTTACACAGCTTTGAGCCCTCGGAGGATGTACCTGAGGAAAAAGAGACGGAAAGCGGCGAGAAAGAGACAGACGATGCGGACGGTGATATTGAAACTCCGGCTACAGAAAATGACTGTGTGGAAGCAAACGAAGTTGGAGATAAAACAGTTGAAGCAACAAGGAGTGATTAGTGTCCAACATAAAATATCGGTAGTGTAATTTTTTGCAAAAGATGCCCAGTGGGGTCAATTTCAATAGAAAAAGTATGAATTTGTACTGTGCAAACTTACGCTAGAGAACTGATGCAGTATGTAATTTTAAGTAATACATAGACATTATGTAATTGTATAATCAAGTTATAAATGGGTAAGCCTAGAGTAGAGGTGTTAATAAATGTGTCACATGAAGCATCTTTATATTATTAAATATCTCTAAGATAAATGTTGGTTTTTGTACTCATTATTGAAATTTTGAAGTATAAGGAAGTAATCTAAATAAAACCTATATAATGATTACTGTGAGAATGGTGAAAGTAAGAACTTTTGGTGCTTTACATATGGGTATGAAAAATAGATTTTGAATAAAGTTCAAAATAATATTTGGGTATAGTAAATAAAGAATAATGAATTTTTCAATTGTTTAAATTCTTTTCAAGTAAACACTAATATATTACTTTACGATACAAGTATGACGGTGGAAATAATTGTAAATAACATAATGTTCTATTTTTCAAGAATACGTCTAATCACAGGGGACTTGGATCGCGTTTTAGTTTTTCAAAGTTTATTTGTTTGGGATTTATATTTATTAAATAAATCCCGTTAGCCCATAGCCATCATAGCGCATGTGTCTGGCCGCTCGCTTTTAATTCAATATAGTCGAGCAACCTGAGTTCTATCCTCGGTGCCGGCACCAACGAAATTATTAATTTTAAGTGCTGACTTAATATTCCATGCTAAAGGAAAACATCGTGACGAAACCTGCATATTTCCGAAACAATAAAGATATGTGACTTTCGCAAATCCGCAGGGGCCGCGTGGGTGGACTATGCCCTGATACTCTCTGTATAGAGGAGGCCTTTGCTCACCCGTGGGACATGTATAGACTGTTAGTTTACTTTTTTCTTTAATAAATCTGATAAAACCTGTCTATTTTTGTTGTTTTAAATCCTTGATTGATAAATACATACACATGCTACTTGCTCGTTTTTCTGGTGGTAGTGTTGAGTGCACAGATTCAAAATTCTTTTGTGGAACTTGCTATGTTATAATCTAGCGGCGATTTTTAGTTGCAAGTTCTATTCGTAACGAGGATTCGGTGTGTGTGATCAAGATTTAAGTGGCGTTTAATTAGTGATGCAGGAATCACAAATAGACATGTATCAAAGCTACTTGTTGTATACACTTGCCCTTTGTTAATGTATTCACGCTTTTTAATATATACAAAACACCCTCATGATAAGGAGTTAAAGATCTTTTAGTTACTAGTCTATGGTTTGATTTCCACTTGCGCCTTCCACATCCTGGGTAAACCTCGTCTCTACCACATACATACACTCATATCATGTGTCATCCCAATTATGACTACTTTTTGACTCGCTCGCTCATTATATTGCCAACTAGTCGAAATCCGGTTACTAACAGGTTTGAAAACAACAAGAATAGGGAATAAAAAAAGTTCAGTTTCAGGGTAATTTTATTGGTGTGGCGTTATATATTTACGTGTCCGCCTCCAAGCTAGTGATTGCCATTTTCAGAGCACCCTCCCTTGTCACGTTGCCACCAATGAAGCCGTTGCTGTGGCAGAAGACGCAACCTTCGATCCCCGACACTTCACTAAGCAACTCGTCCCTGACGCCCCACCAGTTTTTGTGCAAGGGCTTCCTGCAAATGCACACAAAATGGGTTTAGCAGGTCGTTCTGTCCAGTCCCAAACATGAAGAGACCTTGCCATTGTATACATGGCGACAATGCTACAGAGATTTTTCATTTATGAAATCTGATAAACTGAGTAGTAGATGCCACCAGGAATTAAACCATAAATCACCCCCTACAGATCATCCCTAGTCGCTAAAATGCTATTGCCTAATACTTTCATATAACTTTATAATATAACTGATCACTTTATTTTATTAAAAGCAGCCTGCTTTCTTCCATACCACTGGTACTGAGTTTTCATTTATTTCAAAAACAATACTCAATAATTAAAGAAAAACTTATATTTTAACAGATTATTTTATTTAATCTAAATAATATTACTGGAGTTTCGAAATGTTTTGCAATTGTTTGAAAGCTACAAATTGGCAGGAAACAATACAAACAATATTCCATTGCAATTGACATTATTTTGTAGAGGTGCTTCATTAAAATGTCAAAACATGGATGGGTTAGTGCTGATTGATCAGAGCCGGAAAGGTTTTGAGAAATAGTTGTATGTCACACAAAGCATATTTAAAACTAACCTCAATATAAAGCTAACAGGATTTACGGGTACTCCCTGCACTCGCCACGAATTTGGTTTGTCTTTAAACAGAGCATATTTAATTTCACCATCAATTTTCATTTCCTTCTCCAATTCAAACAGATGCTCCTTCCAAGGAAATCTCTCCATAAACTCAACTATCTGACCGGAGCCATGCACCTCAAATCTGTTCAGCAAGGAGGATTTTACAAAATCCCTGGCCGGTAGCCACACAGATATTGCATCATTAAGAGTAAAAAGGAATTCCTCCCTAACCATATCCATTGCTTGCCTGAAAATCTCATCCAGGTTTAGTTTTTGGCTACAGTTCCATTCTGGGTTAAGCCTGTTGACCCGAGCACTCAAATGTGTGCGGATCTTGTATTTAGGTTCCTCTTCTGTCATCGGCACCCCATTGTCGATCCCGTCTAGCTCCTCTATTAGGTTTTCATAAACTTTTCTATAGATGATTTTCAGGTTATCTTCAGTTAGTGGAGCATGTTTAGGTTGTAGACATTGGATGACTTTTTCACCATAATAAGTATATATAAGTCCAGCTGAACTAAGCCTGCAAAGTGTAATAAATGTAACATTGACAATTTACTTAACTCTGGGAACAAATTTATTCCATAGAAATCAAAAGCAGTGAACAAAAGGTTAGCTTGAGAATCCATGGATTTGAACTTACGCATGGTTTTTTAAACACTGAGCATTAAGATCATTCTGATCAATTCAAAGAGTTTAACCATCCTTTTGGCAACCCAAATGACATTTGAAAAGCCTGACAGTTGATTAGTTTACTTCTAAGAAGATCAGTGTTTCAGAAACCAGGAGTTATTGTTTCCATTGATTACATTATAGATGGAGAAACATTTAAGAAATGGATCATACATTATGTCTATCATCATTACAAGCTATTATTTTGACATTATTTTACCCAGGTAGTAAATTTAGAGCTAAATGATGCATAAAATAAAGAACTCACTTGATATTATATTTATTACCCAATTCTGGTCTCAATGTGCTTAGAGTTTCATTAAATTCTCTTTGATGATGATCATAGCGCTTCTTCTGGTGGTCAAACTCAGCACCAACATCAACAACAATGTCACATTCATTTAATTTCTCCATGTTCCTGGTGCGTACAATCTCAGCGTCTTTGTACTCAGGAAGGACTTTGAGCATACAGCATGCAAGAACCTCATCACAGTGAAAAACACCATCATGCGTTCCGATCTAAAGGTAATTTCATTGGATTTAAATTTTATAAGTTATGATATACACTACGGTGATATACTATAAAACATAAATGAAAATAAGAGTTTGTCTAACAAAAGTACAATTTGTATATACTTATAATTTCATTTGTAAACATAACCATAAATAAAGCATGCAAACCTTCATAGTTTTAATACTAAAGGTGCGCTTAATTTTTAAATAAATTGATCTTTCTATGTTTGGACTATTAAAAAAACAAATTTTATTTACAATATGTTTTAACATTACAAAATTAAATTATAAAATTCATAATAAGGACAACCGGTCAACCGGACATGGCATGACATGACATGACTGTCACGTCACGTTCACGGTCACGCTCAGAGTTACCTACTCTCGAAAATCCTTGACCCTAAAGTTTAAGTCAAAAATCCCTAAAACCCTCTACTAAAATAATGTTATTAAAATATTATAAACATTAAATAACGCATGTTTTTGTCATAATATCCATATGAATGGAATATAGGAAATCGCAGCGAAATTGTTGGTTTTATACACAGTGTTGAAACCAAAATTTATGGAGAACTAGCTTCTGCCTGCGATTACGTCCGCGTAGAATAGACTGAAGGCGTAACATTAAGACAGAAAGACATATATAGACATAAAATGTACATAAATTAAAGCTTATGTCTTATTCTGATGTAGAAGCTATATTATTGTAAAGTTTCATTAAAATCCATTCAGTAGTATTTGCGTGAAAGACTAACAAACATCCATCCATACATACAAACTTTCGCCTTTATAATATTAGTAAGGATTTAATTTTATTAAAAATTGTCTCGATTTCCTTAGACGACCAATGTTTTTACCTACCTACTTCAAATGATCTATAATGAATGATAAAAAAATTAATTACATTTGGCGGTTTCTTTAAAGCCCGAAAATTTTCATTGGTCAAGGACAGTGGCGAATAGCGAGTACAAGTACAGTAGCCAGTGGTGGGCACCGGACAAGTAGCTGTTTACACTACAGCAAGTACAGTGGCATTTCCCTGTCGTAATGTACAAGCAATACATGCAATTTTGTTCCGTTGCCCGTCACTGTACCAATTTGACTGTTTACACTACAGCAAGTGACGATTATATTTGGGTCAAGTTACAAGATAGCTTGCAAGCCAAGTTGACTCGCCATTGTTTACACTATTGTACTTACTCCCTGTACTTGTCTACAGTACTAAACACTTGACCAATGTATATCGGGCTTAAAATTTATCCTACGCTACCGCTATTGAATGGTTTTCACGGACAAATTTTATCTTTACTCTCCATAGATCAACTCCACATTCTTAGAAGGTAATGAAAAACCGTACTAGATGTCGATAGGTCAACAAATAAACATGATTAGATACATTGCGCTACTCTAGGCTTTTTATTCTTATACCTTTATTTTCTTAATCAAAGAAAATTACAAGATATAAAACGTATGAAGAAATATAAGAAGTCAAAAAATCCCTAAAAATATAACGCTCCTAAAAATCCCAACGGATTTGTTCATCCCCTAAATTTTAGGGGAAAACCCTTAAGTTGGTAACCCTAGGAATACTTCTAGTAGGCATGGGCTAAAAATATCGATATTTTTCTCTACAATTACCTATTGCTGATATATTGATTTATCGCAATATATCGATATTTATTTTAGAGTATCGTTACTCTATTCGTATCTATTTCGATACATTGTTTAGCGCAAATCTGATTCCGAATTTAATGTTACTAAATACTTTTTGCAAAATCTTCGCGCATTGTTAACTTTAAAAAAACTTTTCAACGATTTTCTTCATACCTATTCCTCTTTTAAGAATTTGGAATGGTATGGAAATATAAAGTATGTATCTTCACTTGATAATTATCGATACTTTAAAAAAATGTCGAAACAAAAGTAAAGTAAAGTGAAAGCCTATACATGTCCCACTGCTGGGGAACGGCCTCCTCTATACAGAGGACATCAGGGCATAGTCCACCACGCGGCCCCACTGCGGATTGGCGGACTTCACATAACTTCGAAATTTGTTTTTTTTTTTTGTTATTATTTCGAAAATATGCAGTTTTCCTCACGATGTTTTCCTTCACCGCCACGTGATAAATCAGCACTTAGAGTTAAAAACTTTATTGGTGCTGGGCACCGGGGATCGAACTCAGGTTGCTCGAGTATATTGAAATAAAGACGAGCGCCCGGACACTGAGCTATCACGGCTCGTCGAAACAATGAATATCGATTTTTTTTTCTTGCCCATCCCTATGTACTTGGGATGGTATATACATCAATGTATGAAAAACACAACTGTAAAGTATTAATATATCGAATCAATCCGATGTTTATTCGTCAACATCGAGTAAACATGTTTTTAATCTGTGCAACGAAGAGAAAAATTTGCTAGAGTAGTTAGAATTCATGCCTTTGTATTAGTGTTACTTTGCGGGTAGTAATCGTATCGAAAAGATAAAGTCTGCAACGTCATCTATGGAAAATAAATTGACAAGTAGAATTCAGTTCGTAGGTTTCATAAATCGATGCCACTACGGTGCCTTCTATCGGTATTTTGTTAACATCTATCACTAGTCAGCGCTGTCAATTGCAAGTTTCTTCAAAGCTTACATTACATCAATAGGGATGTTCTAATCATCATCATCATCATCATTTCAGCCTGTTAGAGTCCTAACTGAACATAGGCCTCCCCTGCAGACCGACGAAGCACGATCCTGAGACTCGTACATCCATCGACTTTCCTCGATCGATATCGACTCTTAAAAGTACCTACTACTCAAATCGTACTCATATCATATGGATAAGTTAGTCATAAAGTTTAGATACTTATATCGATACTTTTAACATTTGTTTTATGGGACTGACGTAATAAAATAATAGAATGATTTCATTTTGTCAAATTAAATGTTGCATGTATTTTTACCACAGGACGGGGCTTTTACATGGCACATGACAAATCATTAGGCAGGGAGGAGACAGATCTTGCCAATAGATGGAGTTACGCGTATCGATTCTAATGTTGCAATCCGTTACCATTACTGAATATTGCTCTTACACATTCAAGAGAGTACGACATAAAAATTGATTAAATTTGAGCAACTTTAAAAATATTGGCAATCATATATATTTTTGGAACGCTTATAGTGGAACTATCTAACATTTTAACCTGAATAAAACATTCACGCCCGGTTTCTGAAACAGGGACGCCCGGTTTCTTTTAATTGATTGAAACTCTTTGAATCGATCATTCTGATCATTAAAAAGATCATTCTTTTCATTCAGAGAGTTTAACCGTCCATTACAGCTGATTACTTGACATCTCTCTGATCAGTGTTTCAGAAACCTGGCGTCAGTCCTAACAAACTTCTTGAATTTTAAATTGTCAGTTTTACTTCGCATGGCTTTTATTTATGTGAGAGAGTGGCAACCGAGCTAGCAGTTCCCATGATGTTAAGTGATAACCGCCGCCCATAGATATTTGCAATTCCCGTATGACTTTTGATTTCCGTTGTATAAAACCGACATTCCTTGATTGAAGAACGCGCATATTTTATCCAATTAGTTATTTTGTCGTAGTAATTCCGGGCTAATATTTTGATTATTTATTTACTTTAACCCAAAATACGAAGAAAGAGCTTTTATAAATAGGTGATGTCATACTGATTGCTGTGCTTGGAAATATTGTTATAGTTTTTATTTTGATTGTTTTTTTACGGCTGGTTCCAATATTCGATTTATCTGTAGATTTGATGATTTGAGATAGAATTTTGATGTAAGTATTATGGAGTTAATGTCAAATATGTATCACTAGTAAATAAAACCATTGCGGTATATGGTTAAAGCACAGTACAGTTTATGGTTAAAGCATTTTACACCATTGCGAAATATCCCAAAGATGCTTAAAATTTGTAGAAAATGTACGAAAATATTGTCGCCGCTGTGGGAATCGAACCCACGTTTTCTTTACGGCCTTCGTGGCCCGACGCTTTAGCCATTAAGCTAAACGGCCGATTGCCACATCTTATTGAACGTAAAAAATACCACCGGTTCACTAAACTAGACTGGAGCAGAGAAGAACCGTCAAGAAACTGCGGTCTTGTTCTCTTTTTTGTGATGCACTTATACAAACTTATTTATTTTATTTCTCGTTTTGCATCACTGCAGCCAGTGCGAGTTTAAACTCAATACTATAATGGTCTTAAAAATTGAGAGTTCAGGCCACCACTGCGCTCGATATCTGTTGATCACTAGCAGACCATCGATCAGAGTTTGTGTTGATATTGCATCATCGATTTCAATAATACGATTGTACGGCGACAGACTAGTCCATTGTGTGCCGCGACCAAAGAGGTTTTACATGCGCACAGCCTCTAGCCACCTTAGTGAAACAAATTGTTTGACATCGTCTGTGAAAAGACATTGAAATGACAGACTGTTATGAAATTTTGAACGAGAAAATATTTAAGTTCCTCTGTTTATGGTCGATTTCTTGTAGAAATTGTGCGATATAACTTGAGGATTATCTTTTTTTTTATCAAAATTTTTCTGCGGACACAATACAATATTTAATTTTGAATCCATAGATCATATGCACCTCGCTTGTATAATCTAAGTGTGTATCGTAATATTTTTGGGGACGTGTCTTTCACACGGCGTTAATTATTACTTTGTGATGTGACGGCAGTAACCATGGCGGCATCAGTCTTGTTTGTATGTTTAGTCTCACTTCTTGACTATATAGATAGAACTGGCTCTTTCAAATTTTACTGCTAGGTAGAGAGGAAAGGTGCCATTTATTGGAGGCACGATAACCTAAAGGCAAATTATGAGTCCACGAAGTTGTAGCTACTCGGCCACCAGTAATTGTATATACAATTTCATTATCTCGATTATAATATCACGTACAGGCTTGAATTTGAGTTGTTCAATGAACAGATTGTAATCGAGACCGTGGCTTTGTTAGGCTTCGAATGCGGCTAGTGGGCTAGGTGGTGTGTGTGCGGCCCAAGTTAAGGAATGGATTGATGTGGAACACTGGCGATTGCAATAAGGTAAAGTAACAGTCTATATACTTATTAGGGCGTAGTCCACCACGCGACCCCACTGGGATTGGCGGGGTTCACATCTTCTACATCTTTAAAAAA